CTTGCCAATTTTTGACAATTTTAATGATGTAACCCCTTATGAAAATTTCAAATTTCCGAAAATTGTGAAAAAAATAGATTTTGATCGGACATGGCTAGATCGATTCAGCTTTTAATGCTGATTAAGAATATATATGGTTTATAGGGTCGGAAATGACTCCTTTATTGTTTTACAGCCTTCGGACTAAAATTTAAATCCAGTCTTTGAGCCAATATTTATTTGTATTTTTATACCACAATTTGGTATAAAAATTTTGTTAAAAAATTCATAACTACGCCAAAAATGCATTAATTTCAATTCGGAAAGCTGTCCTGTATTAGTTTCTATTAGGGTAACAAACCTGCATACTCGATTTAACATTTTAAACAACCTTGTGACTAAAATGATAATCCCTTCTTTGAGCCAATATTTATTTATATTTTTATACCACAATTTTTGCGACCAACCAAAGTTTAAAAAATTCATAACTACGCTAAAAATGCATTAAATTCAATTCGGAAAGCTGTCCTGTGCTAGTTTTTATTGGGATAATAAACCTGCATACTCAGTTTAACATTTTAGAAAATTCAATTTTTTGCCAATTTTTGACAATTTTAATGATGTAACCCCTTATGAAAATTTCAAATTTCCGAAAATTGTGAAAAAAAATAGATTTTGATGGGACATGGCTAGATCGATTCAGCTTGTAATGCTGATCAAATATATATATGGTTTATAGGGTCGGAAATGACTCCTTCACTGTTTTACAGCCTTCGGACTAAAATTTAAATCCAGTCTTTGAGCCAATATTTATTTGTATTTTTATACCACAATTTTTGCGACCCACCAAAGTTTAAAAAATTCATAACTACGCCAAAAATTCATTAATTTCAATTCGGAAAGCTGTCCTGTATTAGTTTCTTTTAGGGTAACAAACCTGCATACTCGATTTAACATTTTAAACAACCTTGTGAATAAAATTGAAATCCAGTCTTTGAGCCAATATTTATTTATATTTTTATACCACAATTTTTGCGACCCACCAAAGTTTAAAAAATTCATAACTACGCCAAAAATTCATTAATTTCAATTCGGAAAGCTGTCCTGTATTAGTTTCTTTTAGGGTAACAAACCTGCATACTCGATTTAACATTTTAAACAACCTTGTGAATAAAATTGAAATCCAGTCTTTGAGCCAATATTTATTTATATTTTTATACCACAATTTTTGCGACCCACCAAAGTTTAAAAAATTCATAACTACGCCAAAAATTCATTAATTTCAATTCGGAAAGCTGTCCTGTATTAGTTTCTATTAGGGTAACAAACCTGCATACTCGATTTAACATTTTAAACAACCTTGTGAATAAAATTATAATCCCTTCTTTGAGCCAATATTTATTTATATTTTTATACCACAATTTTTGCGACCACCAAAGTTTAAAAAATTCATAACAAAGCCAAAAATGAATTAAATTCAATTCGGAAAGCTGTCCTGTGCTAGTTTTTATTGGGATAATAAACCTGCATACTCAGTTTAACATTTTAGAAAATTCAATTTTTTGCCAATTTTTGACAATTTTAATGATGTAACCCCTTATGAAAATTTCAAATTTCCGAAAATTGTGAAAAAAATAGATTTTGATCGGACATGGCTAGATCGATTCAGCTTGTAATGCTGATCAAGAATATATATGGTTTATAGGGTGGGAAATGACTCCTTCATTGTTTTACAGCCTCCGGACTAAAATTGAAATCCAGTCTTTGAGCCAATACTTATTTGTATTTTTATACCACAATTTGGTATAAAAATTTTGTTTAAAAATTCATAACTACGCCAAAAATGTATTAATTTCAATTCGGAAAAAAATGCATTAAATTCAATTCGGAAAGCTGTCCTGTATTAGTTTCTATTAGGGTAACAAACCTGCATACTCGATTTAACATTTTACACAACCTTGTGAATAAAATTATAATCCCTTCTTTGAGCCAATATTTATTTATATTTTTATACCACAATTTTTGCGACCCACCAAAGTTTAAAAAATTCATAACTACGCCAAAATGCATTAAATTCAATTCGGAAAGCTGTCCTGTATTAGTTTCTATTAGGGTAACAAACCTGCATACTCGATTTAACATTTTAAACAACCTTGTGAATAAAATTGAAATCCAGTCTTTGAGCCAATATTTATTTATATTTTTATACCACAATTTTTGCGACCCACCAAAGTTTAAAAAATTCATAACAAAGCCAAAAATGAATTAAATTCAATTCGGAAAGCTGTCCTGTGCTAGTTTTTATTGGGATAATAAACCTGCATACTCAGTTTAACATTTTAGAAAATTCAATTTTTTGCCAATTTTTGACAATTTTTGCGACCCACCAAAGTTTAAAAAATTCATAACTACGCCAAAAATTTATTAAATTCAATTTGCGGAGAAGCGTTTTTAATGTAATGTATAGTAAATATTAGAAAATATATATTTTATCTCTCTTTTAAACCCATTTGATATTATAAGAAATATAAAAGACATTATAAAATTGTTGATTGTAAAATGTATGTTACATTTTATTATTATAAATAATCTGCAAAATAAACCATCCGTTTTATAATATTTTTAAGATATCCGTCGTATTTGCTCAATTTTTCTCATTGTAGTTCCGATGCCATAAATAGATTTACATAGATGGCCCCAATAATGGGGGAGCAGCAATGGGGGGTCATGAACTTCAATTATGTGCCTCGTGAAAGGGCATGCCCCTCTGGTGCAGCAGGTGCTGTGTGGCAGTAGCTACTGTGTTGCTGCTGCTGCTGCTGCTGCCTCTTTGTTGCTGCAACACACAATTGCTGTCAAATCGCCTGGCGTGTGCTTAATTGTGCATTTCAGTGGCGTCGACTATATCGGCCACGGAGTCAGAGCACTTACCACAGGCGGCGTTGGAGAACCGAATTAGCTGCCCTTTTTTGAAGTCCGTTCCTGTTTACTTAGGGCTTTGTTTTGGTTCGGTTTTTAGAACTTTTTAACAAGAATTTTATTTATGAAACGAAATGGAAAACGAAATGGAAATCGAATTGGAAAATGGAAGCATTCGACGACTTGTGAATTGACTTTTATGGGGGCTAATCGGCTGCGGTTGCGCTTATCGGTTGGTGCCTTGCCAGAGCCCACTTTTCCAGTTCACTTTTATTAGTTTTTATTGTTTTACATTGCCTCTGATAAACGAAATCAATTACTGGCTCTGTGCGAGCTCCACACTCACGCATCTAAGCCAGAGTTATCAGTTGGAGCAGTTGGAGTGCCCCTCGAGTGCTCCCCGAGATCTAATTGAACCCTGATCCCCTGCTGAACCGCTCTGAACCCCTCGTGCCGGGTCGCTCACTCAGCTAACTGGCGTGTCAACGGATCATAAAGTCCATAAATTGCGGGGGACTTAACCTACCCCAATGTTGGTTGAGAAGTACATACTGCATATTGTATATAATATATTAAATGCATTGCCTAGACCCAGTCCCTGGGCTGATAAGCGGCATAAACAAACCGCGATACAGTCAAGTTCAATGACAGCAAAGTAAACCCAACATTCGGTGGGTACAATCACTCTTCTCCTCCCTCCATCGAAAATCGTGATCGGCATCCTTTATAACCACCATATGGTGGCTGGCTTTAATTTACTTTTACTCTCCCATCTTACAGACAAAAAATGGGAAGATTAATCAAGTTTATGCTATAATAATTAGTGTACTCAGAGATAATAATATAATAATAATATCTACAGCTAAAGATTAATTTAGTTGAATTTTCATTGTTTTTATCGGGATTTTCCTTGACTTCAGGGAGCTTATAGATGCTATAGAAAGCTGAAAGTTAAGTCACAGTCCTATGCAAATATCATTTAATTAATCATTAAAGATATTTGCATAGGAAATACTGTAAGATTTGAAAAAAGAAACTATAGATGTTCGATTTTTAAATACTTTCAATATTTTGATTTTATCCCCCATCTTTCTTCAAGTGCACAATCTTGGCGGGCCTGCATCAAGCCCATTGAAAATATTAATTATAACGAAATAAACGAGATGATGTGGAATAAATACGAGTTCCTTTAATAAGTTTATATATGCATAATAAAGGCTAGCTACTCCATGGTGACAGGCGGCAAGAAGGCGACGCCGTGCCGCTTGCTTTTCGAATATTTGTTGCTGTTTGCCTGGAAAACACTGAGGCACAGACACTTGGTTGGACTGGAAAACACGACACGGACACAGCCCTCGCACTTGGGCGTGCACTTATTTATGTGCGTCTTATTTAGCTGTCTGTGTGTGGTGTGTGTGCGGTGTGTGTGCCTCCGGAGGGTGAGAGCGAGGGTGAGTCCAAGTGTGAGTGCAACTGCAAGTGGCGTTTGGAACAAGGAGAGACACCACACAATGTTGTCAAAATCAAAGGGAAATTTATATATGTACATATACAATGGGAAAAACAATCTCAAGAGATTTCGATAGCTATCTTTCTCCCAAAACCTTTTTATCTGCCTGGCCAATGCCTAAACACTTTAACTATCTGCAAAACAGCAAAGTAACAGAAGAAACAGTACAGAGAATTTGAATTTTTGTAGAATTTTTTAGATAATATATCCTGATTTAGCCTCATTTATCTTAAATTGCCTGAACTCTGGCATACAATCTGATAAATAATAAAATTCTGAGCAATAATAACAAGACGGAAACTGACAATATTTATCTATATTTTTATGCAAACATTTTTTTCCACCTTGTTTACTTTGCTAATCTCTACTCTATTCTGACTTTTAAATATGTCTCAATGCATCATCTGTTGCTTATTTATCTGTCAACAAATATTCTGTATTTAAGTGGTATACAAAATTCCAAGAACCGTGCCATCGACGTATCTGTCGGGTGCACAACCGGCAGCGGCAGATACGGCTTCGAGGGCTGTCCAAGTAGCCTGCAGCTCTTGAATTCATTCCATTTCGAGTCGTCGGCGAGTGAAAACGTCCAAAGTTCGGTTGCACGCCTGATCTCTCAGCTCGCCTCGGTCTTGGTTTCGATTGCGGAAACATAGCTTTAGTATTATATATGCCATATATTCACATGTATATGCAGATAGTATGGTCCAGTAGTTCCAGCAGCCAAGTGACAAAAGCAAAACAAACTAGTTTTCAGCCAGATCTCGGCGAAAGCCGGCCCGGCGCGGGCCTAATTGAATAAATATAATTCCGAGAGAACGCCGCGCCGATCTCGAGTGTGTGTGCGAGTGTGTGTTTTCGAGTGAGCCTCAATTGAATTCAATAAATCATAAATATATACATGTACAGAAGTGAGTGCGAGGGAAAGTATCCTGTCGCATATAATTGTGATTTATTGGCTGTAATTACGAAATTACGCATGCGAAAATTTAATTTTTGATGAGTTCCAAATGAAATTTGAGTTGAAAATGTGCCACCTCCCGATACTCGCCCTGCTCCTCCTTCTGCAATGCCAGATCGAAGCCTTCAATTTCTCGCCACGTGCGAGTATGGTGATAAAGGCGCCGAGCCACCTCAAGTTCCAGCAAAACCAAACAAGGAGCTCCTACTTTGGATACACACTCGTCATCCGTCCAACCAGGTGAGTGTCAAGGAGGAGGAGGAGTATTTGCATACCTGAGGGAAGAGGAGTGTGATATGCCTCGGTTAATTACGATATTCCACCTTTATCTCTTGACAAGCAACGCCTTTCAGTTTCACAAGTTGAAGCTGAAACACCTCTGTCAATATTTTGAAACTTCTTTCTGTCCCTTTGACACCCGGAAATGGTTAGCCTTGCTAAAGAAGATCGATCACAAGAAGTTAATGCTTGGCGAAATTAGTTCATTTTTATTGACACTTAACACTCTCCCAGGTTTTTTATTTGCTAAGTAATTAAGCCAAGCCAAGCCGTAGTTGTAAATGTTATTTTCTCAGCATAGAGAATCAATAGACTCAAGTGGAGTCGAGTCTTCAAGTCTCAACTCGACGGCAGCTGCACTTAATATGTTGCTGCAATCCAAGACTAATGACTTGTCCACAAAAAACCCGACTTGAAAAACACTCAAAAACCATACCACTTCAGAGAGACAATTTTCTAAAAATAACAACAAAAAACTGGCTACTTCAGTTTCAATTGCCACAGATCTGAGAGATCGCGACTTCGACTTGGAACAATTGACAAAAAAAGCAAGCTGGGGCGACCTACTTATAGTATGATATGTAGACCCAATGGCGGCTACTCTCGGGGTTTCGGAACTCAGAGCCCCAGAAAATGACATCACACACACCTCAGCCACAAATCACAGTTAATTGAATAAGAAGAAAGCCAACGAAATCGAAGTTTAGATGCTCTTTTTGGTGGCACTAGACTTGGAGAGATCATTGTTCAAGAACTAAGCTTGAGACGCTTGAGATACTATTATGAATTCGTCATATAATCCATTATTTACTATATAATTTACTATTATTTCTATTATTTCCTGGTCTTTCAACTAGTCTTCTTTAGATTTTAAACTGCATTTTGGAAATGATTCTGCAGGAAACCTTTCTAAAACACCAACTTCTCTGTGATTAAACTTATTTTAAGAACTTTATGTTCCAGTTCTTTTACTCAAAACAAGAGTATCCAACAATTATATATATCCAGCTGAAGCTCTTGCCAAATCCAGGCCACACAGCTTCAGAATAGAAAACTTTTGGTTTTGTTTACTTGACGCAAGTGTGTACTTTCAGCCATATCTTGTTTTAATTCAGACGATCAGCAACCTCGTTAGAATGCAGTACGTGATCATAACGAGTGCTGGCTCTTCTGACCGACCATATTTTATTACCATAAAACCTGGATGGGTAATTTGGAACTTCCTCCGCCGCTCCCATTTCCCCTTTTGCTCCTCTATTTTTTTTTTTATTGCCAGCACTTTAAGCCCCAAAATACCCATGACTATGTTGTATTACCAAGTGCGCCTAATTATGTACGGAAATTGCGCGTAAAATCACGACAAGCTGTAATTTATTTCACATCAATTGAAGTTGGAAGCTGAAACAAATAGAAAAAACAGAGTGTGTAATGCCTGTTTTATGGCTTCCTGGCTGATGGCTTCCAATCTGATGAATATTCAGATGTTGGCCACGGGAACTTTTGAATTGTAACGAAATTTGTTGAAGAGTGTGCACTCAATCACTCTTGCCCAATACATAACATACCCTTGCATTCTGGCGAAATGACTCACGAAATGTGTCCCAATCCGATTCCCCCTCCTCTTCCATGTGGCGTCTCCAGAGAATGAGCTCCTCCGCCTCCAACACACACATAAATATTTTTAGCCGCTTTGGCTCTCGGTCATTAAACCGAATTCCGGAAAGAAAAAATGAAATAACCAAAGTCTCCACAAAGGAAAACGGTGCAGTAACAGTTGTTCTTACCATTTGCTGACCGCAAGCTGCAGCATTTCTTTGTCTTTTGTTTTTGTTTGCCTGGCGGAGATTGGAGGAGGAGCTGGGGACTTAGGGAGCGGGGAGTGCGGAGCGTGGAGGTCGACTGGAGGAGGATCCCGAGCATGGGGGGAGATCTGTGTGGTCCGCATCATGGCTTATTGTCCGCTCGCATAAACAGTAAACAGTTCCTTCTTTGGCATTTCAACAAAGCGCCACCGTCACAATGAACATCTTCGGCTGCAGCACACACTCACAGTGCTGGCCACAAAAATAGCATAGAAATTCTATTCATATTTTACGGATTTAAAAACAATATTCTTGTCAATCAAATAGATAACTTTACCTATATAATAATTATAGGGAAAGTATTATTAGAAATCTATAGTAAATGTATTAAGATCTTCCGAAGATTGTAAAACAGTGAAGGCGTCATTTCCGACCCTATAAACCATTTTTTTTCACAATTTTCGAAAATTTGAAATTTTCATAAGGGGTTACACCATTAAAATTGTCAAAAATTGGCAAAAAAAAGAATTTTTTAAAATGTTATACTGAGTATGCTGGTTTGTTACCCTAATAAAAACTAACATTGGGCAGCTTTCCGAATTAAAAATGATCGATTTAAAATTGGTTCGATAGCAATAGAAACATCAAGTATATACCTATTTTTATCTAAATTAATAGTAATAGCTATCCATTCATCATCATTTCGATTCCTTCTTCCTTCTTCCTTCTTCCTACGTTCACATATTTTTTGGGGCCACTACCAACTTGGACACCGCTGTGGAAATGCACAGAGACCGAGTGAGGAGTGACAAGAGGTGGGAGTTGGACTCTGGGCTCTGAGGGGGAACACGGCTTACATGGTTATGAGTCACTTTTTGGGGAAATACGTAAGCGACAGCGATAGTACCTTGTTTATTTACGAACAAATTTCAGCATGGTTTGTGTTAGCCGCCGAAGTGAAAACAAATGTTGGCCGCTTGTTTTGCTCTTTTAACTGTTTTAGTTTTTGGCCTAAACAAATGGCATTATCAGGTAGCCAAAGTGACGTGTGCTTGTTACCTGAAATAACTCGCAAGTGTGGGCACTTTTTAATGATTGGCATGCAATCAAGCCTCAAACTATTTGTTTCGCCGGCGGATAAAGTTACGACTGAAATCGGGTTGGAGCTCTATAGTGGATGCATGGCGGTGGCTAGTGACTCATCTCATTCCCACTGACTAAGCCCAGGGAAACCTTGTATACACATCTAAATATGTATGTATAATTATATGGACAATAAAAAATAAATCATCAAGATGTAGCAGTATTTCAACTGAAGCAGATTTCATGATTTATTATAATTGCTTAGACTGTTATCTTTTAGATTGAAAGTGTTTGGTTATGAAAAATATTATATATATATATATATATTAAAGATCTGGGTGCTTGTAATAAATATAATTAATAAATATATGTATTTATATACTATTAATAAATAGTATTCTTTAGAGTTGAGAAAAGAAGAAAATATAGAAAGTTTCCCGGAGATACTTAGTCCAAAACCTTACTTGTACTTTTATTTAATATTCAGTACCGCTAACTAGTTTTAAACTGTATATTAAAGATAATAGATTCTCTTTCTATAACTATTAATAATTCTAAAAAGCAAAATAGTAACTTTTGATATTTAATGTATTAATTGCGAATCAATGCAGCGATTCATGAGATTTGTTTAAAAAACAATAGCAAAGGCTACTCTCAATTTCTGCTTGCATTGTACCTATTTTTGATTGTTTATTTGTTTATTTATAGTTTGGTAAGCATATTTAAGCATCCGCTCTTTATATATGTTTTTGCATTTAAGAACTTTATGTTGAGCCATCAAATAATAATCTTATTCTTATCAATTGACTCCCAGATAAGTCAGACCGATTAATAAATGAGTAATATAAACTCTTCAAAGAGCAAATTTGTCTCATATTTATTAATAATAATAACCTAATTTTTTGCTTAACTGGTATATATTCTTAGATTAACCAGTTCACTGTTCCTATCAATTGAGTTCAAGATGAGTCAGTTTTTGGCTCAAGAAGCTGCTTAAAAAAACAAACACTCTGGTTTCCACAAAATTGAGAGCGGTCTCCCTGAAAACTGCAAATATGGCAGAGTTGGTATTGATGGCACTCCCACGAGGCGCTGGCCAACGGTAAAGTGAGTAAGCCTGGCCAAAACAAAAGCGGCTCTCTCATATCACAGCCATAACTTGTTTGCGCTCTGTTCCGCTCTCTAAATTTTTCTCTGGGCTTATCGGGAGAGCCAAGGTGTAGCTCCTCAGTTAGTAGCTTTCAGACCTTCGATCGGAACGGTTGCCGAATATATATATCCACAGCTGCTGGCGGCAAGCGTAACGAAAGTGATAATATATCGGCGGAGATATCGCGTGGCGAGTGACATATATTTAACTAATCGGAGCTCAAAGAGCTATAAAATCAGCAAAAATGATGGTGCTTAGGTGCCACATCTCGGTCTTGTGCTGCCTCCTAGTGCTACCCTTCCCTGGCAGCTCCTTCAACCTATCCCCGCGACCCAACCGGCAGATCTTGGATCCCCAGTTCGCCACCAATCTGCCCAAAGTGCGTGCGTCATATTTTGGTTTTACCATGAGCCTGCGTCCCAATGGGTAAGAGCATCTCCCGCATCTCCATCTCCAAGCTCCATCTCTTCGAACTCCATATGCGGGGAGTAAACAGGTTGATGATTCACTTCACCTCAAACGGCACTCAGTATATAAGCACTAGTAGCCGTTAAAAATGAATGAACTTTTTGAAAACGCTATGAAAGCACACAACAAAAAATAAAAATAAAAGGAAAATATTGAAGAAATGCCGTAAGAAGCACTTAATGCCTTGTACAAACGATGAAGTCATACCCTTAATATCAATTACCAACGCACACACTCAGGAAGGAGGTGTAGTCAGGCAGGGGAATATATATGTATATATGTTATATAGTATTTATGGGTTCATGGCAATATGTTCGAGAGCGGGAAGTTATGCAAATATTTGCAGTGCTGCACGTTCGATCCCTTGTTGGTTTTATAAGTCAGTTATTCGATTATTTACCAAACGAATGGGTGGAGTTTGCTTAGTTCTAGAGCGGTTCGGTTAAGTTGGAAGCCAATGACAATTTGTTATCACAAAAGCAACAGTGCCAGCTACGACGATTTACGATAAGATTGCCGCTTTCACAGTAAAATACCGCTAAGGTGACATTTTTACTTAGATAAGCCCCACCTCTCTCTCTCTCTCTTATGTAGCCACGATTTGTCACCTTATCAAGTTTCTAGTTCCCTTGAATTGCATTCGATTTCTCAGTTATGCTGAGCTATAGATGGGGTCAGTTTGAGCTTTGTAAACCAATCAAATAAAATACATTTTCATTGTCAAGCCACTTGAGTGACTGACTGACTGTGACTGTCTATAAGTTCGCCGGAAAAGTCGAGTAATGGATGAGACATAGACCCTAAATTGCCCCACAATGTCTGACTAATACAGAATATAAAGAAGATTGTAACAGTATCCGTTCAGTTGTCAAAATAAATTTGTTTCTACCTCAACGAAATATTGAAACTAAAAACTGAGGGAAAAGTAACTGCTGGCTTCCTCTATTCGTAAATATGTCTAGCTGCTACTTTATATTTGTTTTCTTGACTTTTTTATGTGTCAACACTGAAGAAATGCTGGCTTGCTGCTGTCACTTTTAACATTTTTATTTGTTAATGAACTCATATACATATTTCTACCTATGTGGTAAATAAACACATTGTTGTTTTTTAGGTATTTTGTTTACTTTGTTTGTTACCAAAGTTAGGCAAATAAAGCGATCACTTCAAAGATTTTATTTATGCTATTTAGCATTCAAATTAGTCAAAGCAATTTGTTGGAAAATCGAGGGTTTTCGATTTATAAAAAATAAATCAAATAGGAAAAGAGATTTCAATAGTTTTTTATATAGAACCTAACCTAATTTATGATGATTTTCCACTTACTAATATATCCCTCATCTCTGCCCTTCCAGCATCATCGTGGGTGCTCCTCGTGCCCAATCCACATTGGAGTCGCAGAGGAACATCAATGAGACGGGAGCGATATACAGATGCTCCCTGCTGAATGGTCAGTGCAATCCGTATATCCTGGATCAAACAGGCAACGTCGATGCGCCCTTCAATGAATACACCTTGGACTCGCAGAGGAAAGACTTCCAGTGGCTCGGAGGATCTATGGATGGCGGCACCCGGGACACGGATAAACTCCTCGTGTGCGCTCCTCGCTTCTACACACCCAGCTCCAAGGACTATCATCTGCACGGGGTGTGCTACTGGGTGCAGAACACCCTGGGCAGTACTCCTGGACACGTGACCCGCATCTCCCCGCTGCGTCTCAAGGCGGAGCAGGTGATCGAGCAGGTGGTCGATGGGAACGACATGACCTCCTTCTACTACATCTACAGCGAGCTGGGACTGAGTGCCCATGTCTCGGACGATAACTCCAAGTTCCTCATCGGAGCACCTGGCATCTTCACGTGGAAGGGTTCGGTGATCCTATACCGTCAGGTGGACAACATCGATGATCCCTCCGCCAGCCGCCGAGACACGAGCAGTGCGCAACGTCGCAGCCGCCGGGTACGGGATGTAGACACCAACGAGTATACGCCGGAGCACTATGCCCCGGAGATACCTAGGCCAAACGGAGGGGATGACGAGTACTTTGGCTATGCGGTCAGCTCCGGTTACTTCGATAGTGCTAACCTGTCCACGCTCCTCTACGTGGCCACCGCACCCCAGGCCAACAAGCAGTCTGGCGAGGCCTACATCTTCGACATCCATGCCAAGAAGATCAAGAAGCACCATGTCTTCCAGGGTGAGCAGTTTGGCGAATACTTTGGCTACTCGGTGCTGGCGGAGGATCTCAATGGGGATGGCAAGACGGACGTGATAGTGTCGGCACCGCAGTACGCTCTGGAGGATTCCCACGACAATGGGGCTATCTATGTGTTTATCAACAAGGGCTTTGTGAGTAATCCATGAATGGTCTGGGAAGTGGGTCTTTCCGACTCTGTAGAATATACGGAACTGACTAATGCCTCCTTATCTTTGCAGTTCAACTTTGAGAGAAAGATCTTGCGGTCGCCGGTGACGAGCAATGCCCGCTTTGGCACCACTCTCTCCCGCCTGGGCGACATCAATCATGACGGATTTAATGGTGGGTTTAGCAGGCTTTATAAGAACTAGAGGAAATTATTAACTGATAATTATTTATTTCACAGACGTTGCCGTGGGCGCACCCTTTGCCGGCAATGGCTCCGTGTTCATCTACCTGGGCAGCGAGCGTGGACTGAGGGATAAGCCCAGCCAGCAACTGGATGCTCCTAGCCAGCAGCCCTCCAAATACGGAACCCACATGTTCGGCCATGGCCTGTCCCGCGGTTCCGATATCGATGGCAATGGCTTCAATGACTTTGCTGTAGGAGCACCAAATGCCGAGGCTTTGTACCTGTATCGAGCCTATCCAGTGGTCAAGGTCCATGCCACCGTCAAGTCAGAGTCGCGAGAGATCAAGCCGGAGCAGGACAAGGTGAAGATCACCGCCTGCTATCGACTGAGCACCACGGCCAAGGCCACGAATGTGCAGCAGCAGGAGCTGGCCATCCGGTTAGCCATCGATCCGCAATTGAAGCGGGCCAAGTTCGCCCAGACGCAGACCAATGAGATGAGTTTCAAGGCAGATGCCGGCCTCAGTGAGCAGTGTCGCGTCTTTGAGGTTCAGGTGCGCTACAGCGAAAAGGATATATTCACGCCCATTGACCTGGAGATGCACTATGAGTTGACCAAGAAGGTGCCCGACTCGGAGGGTGAGTGTTTACTATATAATTCATTATCTGTAATATATATTATTGATTGTCTATAAATAGAGTTCTGCGACACCTGCGTGGCTGTGGATCCAGCAGAGCCCAAGGTTTACCAAGATAAGATCATCTTCAGTACAGGCTGTGCCAACGATGTCTGTAATGCCGACCTGCAGCTGAAGAGCAAGGATGTGAGGTTAGTTAGGAGCACATTGGGTTTACATAACTTGTGGTCTAAACAATCAACTCTTCGATAGCTCCACCTATATACTGGGCAGCGCCGATACCCTTCGCCTGAACTACGAGATCACGAATGTGGGAGAGACCGCCTACTTGCCCCAGTTCAATGTCACCAGTGCCTCCCGCCTGCCCTTTGCCCAAGTGCCTGGCAACTGCAAGGTCACCGAGGCCTACATGGTATGCGATCTGAATCGAGGACGACCGCTGGCCAAGGGTGACCGAGACTCGGTGACCGTCAGCTTCGATGTGAGCCAGCTGAGTGGCCTCAACCTGATCATCACCGCCGAGGTCTTCAGTACGGGACGGGAAGCGAATCCCACGGACAACAGGCAGGTCAATGTGATTGGCCTCAAGGAGTTCACGGAGATCGATGCCACCGGGTAAGATGGAAATCTTTAATAAAATCCTGGGGGTCTTTGCTTAAATTCCCATAATCTTTTAGCGGCCAGACCAATGGACAGATTGACTTGGAGCACTACAGCAACTCGGCGGAAATCATTAACAACTACGAGATCAAGAGCAACGGTCCGAGTGTGATCGAGGAGCTGACGCTGTCCTTCTATATTCCCATTGCCTACAAGGTGGCTGGCTCCGCGGCTGTTATTCCCATCATCAACATCACCAGCCTGAGGATGCAGGCCAGCTACGATTCCCAGCTGCTGAACATCGATCTGTACGACCAGAATGATACCCTGCTCTTCCCGGATCCAGTCGAGGTATCCACCACGGTTAGTGGGGGCCTGGAGAGGACTGTGATCACGCAGAATGGAAACGGCTATGATGTGTCCACCAGTGGTCATATTCATCACACCATGCAGGTGCTCGATACGGATTCGGTGGTCACCGCTTCGATGACACGGAAGCGTAGGGATCTCAAGGCTCTGACTGCCAACCGGGAGCAGTATGCTCGCATTTCGAATGTCAAGGCTCACGATCTGTTGAGCGATGACTTTAAGGATAAGTTGCCGGTGAACCGAACCATTGTGTTCCACTGCCGGGATCCCCAGATGACCACCTGTGTCCGGGCCGAGATGCGCGTCCATTTCAGGCCTGAGAAGTCCATTAACCTGAACATGCGCTATAATGTGGATCTGAATGAAGTGAACTCCATTCTAATGGATCCCTGGGAGTACTTTGTCATCCTCTCCGATCTGGAGCTGCACAAGAAGGGCGATCCCACCTCCACGTCGTTTTCCATTAACCGAAGGATCGAGCCCAATGTGATATCCAAGCATCTGCAGGCAAAGAGTATATGGTGGATTATCCTTGTGTCCGTCATCGGTGGCCTGCTGTTGCTCTCTGCTCTGAGCTACGGACTGTATAAGGTTTGTAATTTAATAGATATATAGTATATAGAGTATTATCTGACCTGGTTGTGTGTTATTCCTCAGATGGGCTTCTTCCAACGCACCAAGAAGGAGGAGCTCAACAGGCTGGTCCACCAGAATCCTGACGAACCGGAGGCGGAGAACCTCAACAGCAACGAGAACAACTAACTCCGGGCAGGCGATAACCCATCTCCCGTACACATCACATTCTAAATGGATGGCTTAGTCACCAGCTCCGGAAGGAAGTCCGAGGCATATTATACCACGTGTGTAATCAATGAAAACAGGAATGAATGTTTAAAAACGAAAAGCCGATAAACCGAAAAAACAAAACCGATAAGCTAGTTACGACAAAAGAAAATCTACCTTATAGGAGTACTACGTGCAACTTGTGAACCGCGAAAACATTGAATGTTCTTACCGGTTATACTTTCTAGTAATTTACGCTAATTTACATAAGTGCCTTGAAATTTCTAGTTTCTAGAAGTAATCGATGCGAAAGTCCCATTGCCATTTGTTGTAAATATTTATTAAACACTTTAAAATAATTTTTAATTGTAATAAAACCAAGTTGTTTGTATAGTTTTCCTAGCTGTTACTTTACACGGCGACGCAAAAGACTTTATTAATGTGTAAATTGTGTAGGTGCGATACCTGTGTATTTAAGAACTTTTCTTGTATTATAGTAGAGTATTAAAGAGCGATGAAGAGTGAATAAAAACATTATAAGCAATGTGTGTTTTTGTAAAAACAGGAATAAATAAAGTGATTTTTGTATGAAAGCCAAATATCTCAAAGTCTTACAAGGGATGGGCAGCAAATTGTCATCTTTAAAAAGTTAAAAAATTACTTAATCAAAACCCATCAGCTTCGTTTTAAATACTTAAAGGTTAATAATTTATTTTTAATAAAAATAACATACAGTTTTTAAATTAAATAAGTACAATCATAAATCTTTGTTGTTTATTAAAATGCATTATTAATCTTAATCCTTGCAAATAGTTGTTAAAACTAATTAATGGTATTAGCACACACTGGCCAAACATGAACAATTTTAGCAATCTTAGCAATCTTTTTTCCATAATATATGCATATATAACATTTATTCTATTTATGTACAATAATAGTTAACTAACGCCGCCGACAAAAGGTCAGCTGCTGGTACACAGAATACACGAATTTCGGGATTTCCCCCCATATATAGTATTTAGTATTTAGTACAAGCAAGTAAAACGGACTATCTAAGTTGAGACGAGACGACACAGAGTTGCTGTGATAAGTTTCCAATTGCGTTGAGGTGGTACGTGCTCATGATCTCTCGGCTTGGATAAAGTAGAGTGGTTGCTTCCAGAGATATGTTTTGGGTGAAAGTTGCAGGATTGCAGCAACATTGCAATATGTGTAAGAGTCTGACTACATTCTAGGAGTGGGTTTTGTTTGTAAAAGTTTCGAGTACTAAGTACTGACTACCGAGAACCGAGTACAAAGTACCTTGTACCGATTGGCAGAGTAGGCGAAATATGTCTATATATAACTTAGGCGTTACCATATGTAGTTCTTTGGTGGTTGTTCCCCGAAGAAGGAGAGGTCCTGTGCTTGACAGAGAATAGAAAAAAAAAACACATAAACAAAACACATATTCCATGCCCGACTACCTTCCCTTTCTGTAGAGTGTATAACAACAACAATGACTTTGCTTTCTAAATAAATACTTGTATAAAAATACAGAGAATTTGTGAACTATGTATTGTCAAAAATCATTAACGCGTAGTAAGTAACATGCGATCCCCCCGACTATGTATATATCTGATATCTGATTTCCTAGCTCTCTAGGCTCGTATCACCCAGCTCATCCTATGACTAGTTATCCCATTGAGCAGCCTCCTGCTTTTTTGCTAACACATTGTCTCGTTGAACGGCGGATCCTTCTCCGACTCGGTGCTGCTCTTGATGTTCGACGACAGCTTCGCGATCTCGTCCTGCACCAGATGCGTACTGATCTGGGGTATGGACAGGGCCGGGTTGCTGCTCTTGGCAGACGAACAGCCCGACTCCTCCGTGCTGGAGCTGCTCTCCTTGAGCACGTTCATGCCCAGCTTGCTCGCAAAGGGCTGCGGCTTGAGCGTGGAAATCAGTTTGGCCCCAACCTGAGCAGCATCCGGCGTCAGAGCCGGAGCTGTAGCCGTACTCGTGGCACCGGTCTCCGCCGGCTGAGACGGCTTGCCCTGGTCCACGCTAAACTGTTTCTTCAGCAGCATCGGACGCGATGGCGGTGCCGGCGCTGCCTGCATCGTCACTGGCCCAGTTGTTCCACCCGAGCTGAGATCCAGGGAGCTGGAGCTCTCGTCCCGCAACCGCCTGCCGTCGGCGGCACCCACAGAGGCCGTGCGGATGGGCTGGTAACGCGCCGTGGCAGCGCCGCCAGCGGCACCAACGCTAATGCTAATCCCCGTCGCCGAGTGCGAGTCGCCGGCATCCAGCGAGGGCTCGGCCGTCAGCGACGGCGTGTCCACGTTGTAGGAGCCCGTCAGCGAGGTGTTTGTCTCATTGGAGCTCTGCTTGATAAAGCGATACGGATGAGCCGAGTAGTCCGTCTCCGTGCTGGAATTCTTTTGCAGACTCTCGCTGGACTTCTTGAAGAGCCGGCCGGTGCCTTCGTAGGGAGGATTTAGGAAGTCACTGGTTGCCCGCGTGGGCACCAGGGGTGAGGGATAGGTTTGCTGCTCCATCGAAGAGTTACGCTGCCAGGGGCGCTCGTTCTTCAGCTGGAAGCCACTCGAGACGACGACCATGGCACCGCAGCTACCAGCTCCGCTGGTGTCGCTACTATCACCACCGCCGCCGCTGGCACCACCTCCGGTGGCCCCGCCCATCAGGTCGCCCTCGACCGAGGGCTTCGATGGTGACAGCTCAACGGCAGTCTCGCGTCGCAGCGGATAGCGATGGCTGTAGTCTATGGAAACGCCGATCTGTGGAGGGGAATAAATGTAAGTAAAAGTATTTAATGAGAAGGATACCGATCCCCTTTAGCTGCCTGTCAACAGCGGAGCTATTTTTAGATCACAAAAAGGTCAATCCTGCTAATACCTTAATTGACACATTTTACCCGAAAATTGTCCAAAGATAACTTTTTGCTGACAAAGCAGAAAAGGGATGCCACGGCTGCTCACCTCAAAGGCCTGGGCGCTGGCATCAATGGAGCCGCGTGCCTCAATAAGGCCCTCCAGTATCTTGTAATCATTCTCCTCGCACTCCTTCAAATGCTTCTTCTCCAGCAGGGCGGCGGCCTCCGCCCGCGACATCTCCGTCTTGGGCCGGTCCAGTGAAGCTGTCGGGGTCATTTGGAAATGGTAAAAGATGAGTAGATTTTCGGGACATGGCAGGGATGCTGCTTGGGGGGGGTGGAAAGAGGAGGCGACAACGGCAGCGGCAGAAGCAAGGCAATGATACGGGTTCACCCGGTTAGTTTTATATACACTTGGCTCACGGTTGGGGTTTCGGATTCGTTCGCATTCGTGCTCCCGGTCCTCCTTGGGGCTTACCTTTGTTGCTCTGCAGGGAGACCGTGGGCGATGCTATCATGTGGCAGACGCTCTCCAACTCGTCCGTGATCGAGGTGTACTCGCTGTGCAGTTTCAGCAAGATATTTCTGGAGGGTTTCGCATGCAATACTGATTTACCTAGAGTTCGGTTAGGTTTCAGAGAAGAGAGAGAGAGATGTGGACACTCGGTTATGGTCAGTGGTTAATGATTAATGGTTAATGGTAGTGCTTTTTTGCCAAATCGGTTTGCTGGACTGGTTCTTTGGATATGGATAGTAGTTTCTGGTGTTAGGTGGGATGGCGTCACGGGTTTAGTAGCCTGAATTTAGAGCGCAAATATCGGAGGCTAAGGATCATTGGCTACTCACCCGGATGAGCGGAGGAGGAGCCCGCGGCGCCTGCTGGCGCATCCTTGTCGCTGTCCGGCTCCGACTGCGTCAGGCTCATCTGGCGGCGGGAGAGCGAGGCCAGCTGATTGAGGCTGATGTGCGACCGATTGATGTCCGCTCCGGTGAGGGAGTAAGTCTCAGAGTTGCGGCGACACAAGGACACAGTCCGCTGTCTCAAGGCCCGATGCCGGGCAGCTGCATAGTAATTACAAGATGCTTTTATAAGGATTCGAACTTTATGTTTACAAAACACAGAGGACATAGAGGACAGAGCACAACACAACAGAAGAAGCTGGTAGAAAATTACCCTCAAAGTTGATATCCGGCGCTGCATCATCCGAGTTATCGCCGCCGACGAGCGTCTGATCATCGTCATTGCCCATCGGCGTTAGCGTGTCCTTGCTCTCAGTGCTGGCCCCGGTGTCCTGGCGCACGGTGACATACGGCGTCCGCTTGACAGTCTCGCAGGTGGAAGGCCTCTGCGAGAGCGGCAGATAGATGTCCGAGTCCGCCTCCGATTGCATCGACGCCTTGCGCACCACCTGCTCGTTGAGAGCCTCACGGGATTTGACCACTTCGTCGGGTTCCTCCGGCAGTGGCACCACCTCGAAGTGGGTGCCCTCATCGAAGATGTACGCATCCGGCCGGACCTCGGTCAGCGAGCGATTGAATCGACGGCGTGTGGTCACCTGGACAAAGTGGCCATCAATATTTAAGTGTGTGTGTGTGCACAAAAAACAAGTGTTGTCATTGAATTAATTTATTATAGATCCACTTTCAATTAACATTTGAAACATTTAAAAATATCACTAAGGTTTGTCAATCACCAATTTCATCTAAAGTCTCAATTTACTAGTTCAAAAATAATAAATAATAACAAAGTAAAACCTTTAAACAACAAAATAAAAAGGAACCTAAATGGTTTCTAATCTCGGCTAACTATATTTGTCATTTGTCAAGATTCGGATTTGGGTCTAAGCACATCAAGTTCCAAATATTTTCTCTCACTGTGCACTTGGTGCTGCAGTGATATGTATTTCAAACGCACCTGCAGCGAATTTAAATTCAGTCCGGCGCCCAGGGCCAGTGGCACAACAGCTCCACCACCGCCACTACCACTTCCTGCTCCTCCTCCTCCTCCTCCTGCGCCACCACTGCCATTGCCACCGCCCTCCGTATCAGATATCGAGATGGTACGCATGCGGTGCATCTCCGACGGAATGTTTATCGTGGACCCCCGCAGGTCATCTGTGCCAGCAATGTGTGTGGACATGAAGCGATGTATGACGGCCAGGTGGGAGAGTATCTGCTCCGAGGATTCCTCCATCTTGCGCAGCCGGAACTCAATGTTCTGTCAAAGGGCGGCAAAGAAAATTGGTTTAAGGTTTTGTTTACAATTTGATTTACCAAAGGTAAGTTAGGGAAGGAAATACGTGTTTAGAGTTTAAATAGGATTTTTCAAGGGATATAGAAATTAATTTAATTACAACTAATGAAGGAATATACAAGTAATCCGTTTAGCTTGAGTTATAGGATGTTTTCTATAATTAATAAAATGTCTTAAGATATATCTTTGAAACCGTCCTATTAGAAACTATGGAATATGTATAACATATGATATGATAACATATATATTTGAAAACCCCTAAATTTTTTGTTCCGTGTTCTCTGGAAAAAAAAAACACAAGTTGATAACATAAAAGTTGTACAAAGAAAGAGCTGCACCGGCTGCATTGCTATCTATGGCCATTCGGACGTGTTAAATTTTCAATTCAAATGCGAAGACGTGCTGTCAGAACCCATGTCAGTTTGGTAAACACGAATCACACACACAGAGACACTCTTGGACTGAGGAAATTTGCATAAAAACGCAAACATGGAATCGGGAATGTCAAAAGAGGAAAATGCTGGGGGAAAAAGAACCTACTCACCTGAACGGTGGCCGTTTGTATATTCTCCTTCTGATTGATGTCCTCGATTTTCTGCGACATTGTCTCCACCCGCTCGGTGGTGTTCTTTACCCTTTCGTCCGTCGACTGATTGAGAATGATTTCCTGTTCGTGGAAGAAGCCCTCGACGCACTCCTCCTCAAAGTCGTACAGTCGCTCCAGGTCGTCCTTTTCGAGGAACAGCTTGAGACCATTGTCCCGCTGCACCTCCAATCCTGCAGAATGTCGATCAAGGGTAGGACATGTGTTATACGTTATCAGGAGAATTGGGATACCAAGGATGACAACATAACAAGAACAACAACAACGGCGCAAGGCAGGCGAAGGTGTTGTTATTGGTAAATCATCATCATTTCACACCCAGGTGGCGTATACGTAATGCAGTTAGTTACAATTACAGTTAGTTACAGTTACAGTTACAGTTACAGAGAGAGACACACACACACACACAGAGAGATACACAGCCGATAGTCGTTGTTGGGTGAGGCAGGCACGCGGGGAGAAAAGTTAGATATTTGTACATTATTGCTGCACATCTCGCACGAGGCGCTCGGTTGCGATAAACTCACAGGGAACAAAGCTAAACTTGCTCATCCCGGGCTCACCTTTCGCCTTTCTCACACAGTACTTGAGCAGCGAGTAGAAGTGGCACAGCGCGATGAATGGCGGCGGCAGGACGGGCTTCTGTTGGTACTCCATAACAACGGTAAAACGCTGGAACATCCATACCTAAAAGGGATGCAAATTCGTTTGAGATTAGTTAAAGAAAGTATAGCATACTTTTTTGGGAGCAAGGAATATTTCAGAAAGAAATCGAATGAAAACAAGAAATAACTTTGGGAAGTTTGCTAGATTTTTAAATTTATATTTTTATATGAAAATTTGTTCGACTAATCAAAGTTTAATAAATTCATAACTAAGCCAAAAATGCATTAAATTCAATTCGGAAAGCAGTCCTGTGTTAGTTTTTATTGGGATAATAAACCTGCATACTCAGTTTAACATTTTAGAAAATTCAATTTTTTGCCAATTTTTGACAATTTTAATGATGTAACCCCTTATGAAAATTTGATATTTTCGAAAATTGTGAAAGAAATAGATTTTGATCGGACATGGCTAGATCGATTCAGCTTTTAATGCTGATCAAGAATATATATGGTTTATAGGGTCGGAAATGACTCCTTCATGTTATTTCAAACTTCTAACTAAAATGGTAATACCTGTAATAAATGTTCTTAAAAAACAGATTAATTCCAACTACACTTGACTCAAAAGATTTGATGAATTCTTAATAGTTTTTGGGAACAAAGTCCAGCTCACTTTAACATTATTTTGATTAGGAATACCCCCCAGTTGATCGAACTCACCTGATGGGACACCGAATTGACCTCGTTGAAGATATTATTGAACACGGCGATGAGTAGATTTATCAGCAGAATATTGGCAATCAACAGATACATGGACATCGTTATCGGCGTTACCCAATGGCCTGTAATCCAATTAGTTTGGCAACGTCAATTTTTTGTTTTTACTTATTTTTCAACAAGACCAAAAGCTCACCAGTGACGCAGCCCGGCTGGCTGGGATCCTCGCCGCAGGGTGGGTCAATATCGCCGGCGAACACCTCTCCGTACAGCATGAAGTAGGGCTGGAAGGTGACCTGGACAACGATAAATTAAAATCACCATTAAAGTGGGTTCATCTGCTGCTGCTGGACCGGGGACCGGGGATGGGAGCAGGGTTTGGGTTTCGAGGGGGCAGGCAGGCATCGCCATCGGAACAAGAAATGGCCGGGCGTAATTCAATTTGCGACCGTCGCCCAACATTAATGCAAGTTTTTACACATTGAAACACAGTTTGGTTATTTTTAGCCTTCACCCGGCAGGTGTCGTGTGGGTGGTATAGGTGTTGGTTTTAGTTTCTTTTTTTTTTGTTAGTATGGTAAGTGTAAGTGTACTGAGAGAAAAGGAGATTAAGAATGAAAAGTCTTTCTTTTAAATATATTAATATTGAATTTATCCATAGAGAAACAAGAAAAATGAGGAAAACAGAGACTTTAAGTATTAGGAAAACTTAAAATCTTATTTAAGTTTAAATTTCAAATAGTTAGGAAATACATTTTCAATAATTTGTAATATTTGTTCAACATTTGGTACTTTATTTTTATATATTACAAGACTGTTATTTGCTTTAGGGAAGTTCGTGTCACCTTAATTGCTTACTTAGAGATTTCATTCTTAAAGAAATCTTTTCTGCTCAGTGTATTTGGATGCAATATAGTTTGTTTTCTAATTAAGCACCACATTTCCCTTAGATATTGAAACCAGCATGCGGTATTTATTTACAAACATTTCAAGACCCAAAGGAGTCTCCTCCAGTCTCATTTGCATATCACAGTTGGATCACAAACAATATCAGAGACACAGGGCCCTCTGATTAACATCACTAAATACGTTTGCCTTGCAGCTATCGTTATTTATATGTTAAGCCATTAAATGTAAACAATTTAAAGAATATGTTAAAATGCAGACTTATCTTGGGCTAAATATTACGGATTAAATTGTTTTTCAAACAGCTGCAGGCAGCTTAAATTTATTTGCATGCCAAAACTGAACTGGAAAATGCGGCAAAACTATTAGGATTAAATAAATAGCGAAGGGTGAGGGGGGACTAGATGGATATAAATATTGATAAGCGAAAACAGAATACACACATTTACCTAAGGAGCTGGACTAAATACACAGCATGCAGTGAAAACTATGAACGATGGAAAATAGTTTCAAGGAGCAGAAGGAGAAAGTTGAGTTTCGGCGGGCCGAAGCTGAAGCTTACCCTTGCAAATTCAACTGGACTTTACTGGGATATAATCCATCCTAAGTAATGGATTCCAACTACGGACACTTGAGTTTTCATTGCAAGAGCGGGAAGAGGGGAAAACAAAAAGGAAAACTGACGCAAGCGGAATGCGGGGCAAGAGACAGTAGAGGGGGAGAGTTAAATATATATATATGTATATTTATAGAATAAAATTCAAGGATATAGTCAGAAGATTGAAGATATTTTAAGGGGGAGGGGGAGAAGTATAAAACTGAATATTTGGCACACCGATCTCCATCAAGACACAACAACAACGACTATAGACCACACGAATATGCAGCACACAGGTAGAGCAAAGACCCTATAATAACAAGATAAATAATGCCATACGAATTCTCAATCATTCTAGATCTGTTAGCATACAGATCTTTATTGATTAATCAGTATATTAAAGATTTATATTTCTTACTTTTACAGAGTATTATTATTCCAGAAAGCAGCTTGTAATAATGTGAAGCAGTCATTTCCGACCCTATAAATCATATATATTCTTGATCAGCATTAACAGCTGAATCGATCTAGTTATGTCCGACTAAAATCTAATTTTTTTCAAAATTTTCGAAAATTTCAAATTTTCATAAGGGGTTACATCATTAAAATTGTCAAAAATCGGCAAAAACTTGAATTTTATAAAATGTTAAATTGAGTATGCAGATTTATTATCCTATTTAAAACTAACACAGGACAGCTTTCCGAATTGAATTTAATGCATTTTTGGCTTAGTTATGATTTTTTTAAATTTGGTTTGTTCAAAAAATTGCCATATAAAAATCAGGATAAATACCGATTCAAAGAAAGCTAAAATATTCGCTTTCTATCTTAGTTATGATTGATTTCTGATAGAATTCTCTAGACTCTCTAACCTTTGTGGGAAGAAAAGAGGAGGCTTATCACTTACATATTTCAATTGAAAAGTATGGGCATTATGGATCTTGTTATTTCAAAGTCTTTGGGTAGAATAACTATATATCTTTTAAATTTTTTGGATTTTCTTTTGGTTTTTTTTTTTTTTAAGATTATTTTTGGCTAGACGCAGCTAGAGCATTCTACAGTCGGCTCTCTAAATAGATAGCAAACCAAAGTAAGTCGATCGATCGATATGTTGCGTTACGTTTGTTAAATTCCCGCTGCTCAGATTCAAATGCTCATTGTATGTGGCTGCCGTGGGTGTTCCTGGAGCCGTCGAACTGGAGCTGGATGTGGTACTGGTACTGGTACTGGTAGTGGTACTGCTAGTGGTAGTAGTGCTGGCCGCTGTGGTGGTGGTCGCTGGAGCCGCGTTCATGGCATGATAGCCACGATGGTAGCCGGAACGGGCATTATGCGAACGAGTATTGTGGCCCAGAGCGCCCAGAAATCCGGGGGCAACTATTGAGCCGGCAATAACCTGGCATTTAGCAGGTATTTGTTTTTTTTTTTTCGTTTTGGAAAACATTTAAAAAAGCGTTTTTCATATGCAAGGGTGGCGGTGGCAGGTGGCAGGTGGCAGGTGAAAGGTGTGACAGTGAGGGGTGAAAAAGTGAAAGATTTCGAAGATGTTTGAGATGTAAGTATGACAGAAAGAAAGAAAGAAGAGTACAAATACGAGACAGAGTCAATTTAAGCATCATTTTTGATTGGTTTCTTTGGTTCTTTCTTCTTTTTTTAAACTGTAAATACTAATTAGTCAACTACTTAATGTAAGAATTGAAAAATGGGGACTTCTACTCGTACGTAAAAATGTTCTTTTTGCATTTGCATCACTACTGAGGAACGCAGGCCAAAAACTAGCTTTGCTTGCTATTTATTATTATTAAGTAAATGTATGTACTCCGCATCGTAATTATTATTATATTTTTATATTTATAAGCTGCAATAGAAATATATCCACACTCGCTCTGGTGGGTGGTGTGTGAGTATGTTAATGAGACTGACATTCGCACACACATACACTCAGATTAGTTTCTGTTTATTTACAGGAAGTCTGACAAGAGGGAAAGGATTGCATTGTGGCGGTGGCTTACCTCCTTGATCAGGCCCCAGGTGGGCTGCTTGTCGGGATACAGAATGGCCTGCCGGCTGACCCCGAAGCTCATGAGGACGACGGCCAGCAGGACCACAAAGTAAATCATGTTCTTGACCATTTTTCCCATCATGGTGACCAGAGGACCTGCAACGGATTAAGCAGAATTACGTACACTGCAGAAAAGTGAAGGGATTTCAGAGGACCTTTAGCCTTTAATAAATCAGAGATCTTATTTAATTCAGAGGGAACAGTAAACTCACCCAGATACTTGTTGACTCCCAGGATATTCAGGATACGCAGATACCAGTAGATGCTATCTACACAGTAGATAACCCTGCCAATGTCCATGGTGCTACCTCGAAACCGAAATGCCAGTCCAATGAGAAAGAGTATTATGGCGGCGCCATCGCAGGGATTCCACATATTCCACGCCCACACCGAGAATTTATGCCTGTCCGCATTTTAATGGAGGCAGGGAGCAGGAGATGGAAAGAAAGGACCCATCGAAGGTGCGTTAATTCAAGCGTGAGGCACACATATTGAAGGGGGGGAAAAACGAAAAGAAAGTAATCGAAATGCGCACATCTGTGAAATCCCTCATCCCCATCTGCTTCATTTGCACTCATCGCCAGATGCAATTAAACACCAATGGATAAGGCGATGGATGGTGGGTCTACTTACGTAATGGCCACCGGTTCGGAGGATATGATTTCGCGCACCTTCTCAAAGCCCAACGTGGTGATGTACGCTATCGAGTACCATTCCTGCCACCGCGGCATCGTCTCCATCTTCACCAGCACCGTGAAGGAGAACATTATCAGGAAGAACATATAGGCAATCTGCAGGGAGTGAGAAAATGAAGGAGATGCGGGTTTTGGGTTAAGGGCAAATACCGCAAAAATAATTAAAAACCTTGCACAATCTATGACAAGCAGTCACTGGGCACTGGGAGAAATTACAATCAGTCAATCGTTTAGATAAGTTTAACATTATTTCCTTGGGTTTATAATGAACGCAACTTATTAAAAGTTTAGGAAATGTTTTCCCGAAATAAAGATTATGATATGCTTAATAGAATTCAATCATTTAGATTAGTTTAACATTATCTTCTTGGGTTTTTAAGGAACGCAACTTAGTAAAAGTTTAGGAAATGTTTTTCCGAATTAAAGATTATGATAATTACTATCTCCTTAACCCCTCTTATGTTTCTCTCTGTGCCCTGGCAGGATATTAAGCACACTACCTCACCCTCCCTCACTGTTAACTGGATAGTAATTTCCGTCACTTACCGAATCGGCCCAGAATTTGGTAATGGGTGCCGTATAAAACTCGTAGAACTTCTTCTTCAGGCGCAGGGGCTGATGCTGCTTCACCTCGTTGTACTCGGAGAGATTGAAGAACTCCCGGAACTGGGCAGGATCCGAGTCGGTGAGGGAGACCTGAGGAGAGGTATACACACACAGGACATAGAGTTAGTGGGAACTCTGCTTGGAGCCAAGGGGGTGAAGAAGCGTTCGATACTTTTTGGCCTTAATTAAATCATCAATGTGCAGTGAACATTCAAAGAGAGAGCCACGTGGAGGATTCAAGGATATATTGTACTGTACATTGGGGGGGAAATTGCGTATACGCCCCGTTGAAGCGGCATGTCAAATGTGATTTGGCTTGGCTTGCTTTCAAACTAATTTTGCTGGTGTTCAAGGCTCAATTTGTTACTATTTAAATCCAGGTGTGGTAAGTTTTTCAGGACAAACACACACATATACAGCATGCAGAACAAGTTAATTAATTTAATTATTTGATTATGCAAAACAAAATGTCCTCGCCTTGGGGTGTGCTGATCTATAATAGTTTCTACTGAGTCAAAAATCGATGGGAAAAGGTGCACTGAATGAAATTGAAACATTTCGCTAAGCTATAAAATAAGCTACGAAAAATGCACATTCCAAGAGGGAATATAATCATTACTTCTAAAAAGCCAGCTACAGAAATGCCATTGAAATGAAAATTGATATTTGAATTTTTAAAAAAATCTTGAGGGATAGAGTAAAAAACAAAATTAAATGCAGGATTCAACTAACTTTGGAGGGCTGTTCATCCGCTCCAGCAGTGAGATTAACCTGTAAATTGATACGATACAAGTACTTGGGGACATTAGAACGGTGTGTGAGTGTGTCGAGGGGATAAAAGGGGTTTCTATCGTTATTTAAATGCTATATATTCGAGGATTTGGAGTGTGCTGTGGATTGTTACGAAGACTATACAATAAATAAGAAGGATAACGCACATTTCTGAGTGTTCTTTCAGAAAGAGCAACCTTTGAGTGCGTTTTGCATCCTGTTTATTTTTTGTCTTTTAATCTCATGTATGTAGTGTATTTTTCCTATATTACAATACTACAATAACCAAAGTAGAAATAATAATAATACTGGGTATAACAACGGCATTTCGTTGATTCTGTTCTGTGCTGTCAGTTGGATTTTACAGAATGCTAAGAATATATAATTTTGGAGTTTTCAAATTGCAGTCTTATCGCATTCTGAGTCAAGGGTCTTGATGAATTAAACAAAGAAATAATAATAGTATGAGAGGCGATAGGTGTTTTGTTTCCAGTTTGTTGATATGTTTTTTTAGATTTTGTTTCTTGTGGAATTACTCACTTTGCCATTTTCGTGTACTTTTGTATCGCGCACTGAGTAAGTATCCGCCAACAGAGCCTGCAACAATTCACGCACATTTGTTCGCATTTATCAGATAGGAAATTATTCACGCTTTAGTTTACTTTCTAATCTATTTGGCGGTGATCTTTGGACAAAATACTTGAATTGAGTTGTAATTTAAAATGTAGAAAATGTGGGGTGTGTGTGTTTAGGTACAGATTTCCAAACGATGAAAGTGTGTGGGTTTTGAAGTGAAAGAGATTTGAAAAGATATAAATGCCAATAACTTTGGTTCACATTCCACAGATATGTACAAGAATGTCTTAGGGCTATATGCTAAGTATGTGTTTATGTGAAGCAAACTACGGTGAAGGTGGAAACTCTCTCGTTTTGCCCTTAATAGACTTTAATTGGATTCGACGATTAAGGGATTTCAGCCCCATCCTTCCATCAAGGATGTGGGGTTTGCTCGTGAAACTGAATAACAATATTTGCACAAGTGCAGAGCTTCTCCTTGCCAGACATTGTGGCATTCGATGTGGCTCCTCCTCGGGCTTGGGATGGGATTGCTTGTGGTGCCGAGATTATTACTTAATTGAACTTTGAATCAGCTCGCACAGCTAATGGAAATTCGCACTTAATTCGAGGCAAGCGGATGATGAGCAGGGGAAGGATACTTTAGAATTTAATGGAAGGGCACTGGATGCAAAAAGCTAATCAAATTTAACGAGTGGTCGGTTGGCTCACTTACATCTGTTGAGTTCGAGACACTCTTAAAGGATGGCGAACTGTTCAGCTGTTCAGCTGGCATTAGCTTGCACTTAAGGGAAATACATATTCAAATAAGAGTTAGTTTTTGGGCGAGTTTAAATGAGTTGAGAAAGTTGACCAAAGGCTTTCTGCTTAAAATAATATATATAATTGACCAAAAAAAAATCAATAAACACGAAAAACCCTTTGGAAAAGAAAGCCCTTAGGGGAGAGCCCGCATGATAGTAAATTTATGTACTTTAAAACGAAATAAATGGAGCAGAAAAAGGTCTACAAAGTTTAAGTTTACCTTCACAGTCCCCTTTTACATATTTCAGTTATAATTTCATATAATATAAGCCCCATGAAGACTAGCAAAAACAATAACCATACAGACCAAAGCACAAATACAAGTATTTAAGAACAAATTAAAAGTGTGACGAGACTTGGTTCGATTGTCGTTAGCATAGAGATAGAACATAGAACAAATATAAGTACACATATATAGCATAAGGTCATAAGATCTGGCAAACCAGACAGATAGACAGAGAGATATAGAGACAGAGCAGAGAACATATACGTGTGTGGTTTTGTATGCAGATATACATATATTTAGTTATAGATATAGACGACTGGCAACAGCAAAGAAAACAGAAAGTCGGGATGTTGATCTGTTTGGTTGTTACTACCTTGTCGCGATTATTAGCACCCGCGCCCATCCTATATCTCAAGGAAATGGATCTTTTGGCCTTTAAAAGGGCGCTCTATAAACAGACAAAGTTGGATTTCGACAGCGTTTGGTTAGGATTGATGAATATATATATATATATATATATTGATATAGCAGATATTAGTTGAAAAATTAAATGGTAAACTTAAACCAAAACACTTAGGTTAAGGACTGGCACATACAGAGACAACGAAACCAAATTAAATGTTTAAAGATTTGTTAGTAGGAAATGAACAAAAAGAGCATTAACATTGAAGCGACTGAGCTACATAGATACCTCGGCATCCGGCTGCGAACGATCCGAGTCATCGTTGTCCAGATTCTGATTCTCCAGATGCTCCTCCTCAGTCTGTGGCATTTGCTGGAGTTCCTCCTTGGTTTTAAAGTCCAGCTGCCGGATGTACAGGGGCATCGCCAAGCCCAAAATGACCTAAAGTGAAACAATATTAAAGATATATAAAGAAGTATTATCTCTGGTTGATTTCTAACCCACCTTGAAGTTGGTATTCTTGCGGGTACGCAGTCCTCCCATCCACAGATCCGCCAGGATCACCTGACTGCAGGGATGGGCCAGCAGGGCGCGATGATTGGCCGCCACGGCCAGGGACAGGCAGCTCTGGTTGGACCAGGAATGCAGCTCGCAGGTGAGCAGGCGCTGGGCCTTCTCCGCATCCTGTCTATAGCTAAAGTCCAGCAATTTGTTACCTAAAGATTTAAATGAATTATAATTTAAAATCATATTAATCGTTTACAGCTTTCCTTACCCTTGCTCTCAAACTCCTTGGCATAGGAGCGCAACTCCTCATAGATCTCCGTGTCCAGGTCATCCTCGGCCGCCTCATGGGCCATGGCCTTGTACAACTTGCAGGATACCAGGGACTTGGCCAGCGCCTCCTCCCCATGCGTCCACATCAGCAAGGCCATCTGCTGGCGCTTGGTCAGCACCGCCCAGATCTGTGGATGCAAATGAGGGTGGGGAATCCTTATCGGAATCGAAATATCTAGCTGCAGCTGGAGCCGAAAAATCACTTACCAGCAGCTCATTGAAGGGGAACTCGAAGAGGGCCATTTCGGAGGTGAAGGGCAGCAGGCCGGTGACCAGGCTAAGGGAATTGGCTCCGGCATAGCGCTGATACTGGTAGGTGGAGGACTTGCGGCAGGCGTTGGCATAGCTGTTCATAACCTTGGCGTAGATGGGCCGAAATTTGCGGCGCGTGTAATAGGATCTGCAGAGGAGAAATCCAGTTTGAGTGGGTTTTGTTTGGACTCTGGCCCCCTCTCGACGATTTGCTTCAGTAATTTTGCATTGTATCAGGCTTTGTGTGAAAAAATACCCAACGACTCTGATGGACATCCGCTGCAGTAGCCGGACTTGAATAGTAATGAAATGTTTCCATTTCACTTTCATTTTTTTTGTAGTCCTTCACCCACATTGTTTGTTCTCCTCGCGGCTCAAGAGATTTCCATTCCCTAAATGTAAATGTAATTTTTGTTTGGGTTTCCTCCAGGCTCTTCGAGGAGAGAGGCAGGCAGCACCTGTCCCGGCTTTACGAGCGCACAATTAAATTCAGCACATCAACACAAGCGTCCATAAATTATTTATGACAAATAAAAAGGCAAATCAATTGAGTTGCCCCCATGAGCCCGAGGCAACAGGCAACAGGCAAGCCAATTCCAATTTTATGTTAATCAAATCACAAAACTTTAACGCTTTTAATTACGCCAAAGTTACGCCTGTTACACGGCTGCTGCTCCTGACATTTAAATGTCTATAGTCTAGACATGGAAGAAAAACAGGCTGTGAAGCAGTCAAAAAGCCAAAGCCAGTCGACCAAGAAAAGGCCAAGGACCCGGACTCGAAACCGAATCGGAGTCCGGAGTCCGGAGTCCGTAGTCCGTAAACCCTAATTTAATATAAACACATCGCTTGTGACGCCGGCTCATTGCCTAGATAGCCTCGACTTCCATTTAGATGGCCATTTGTCAGATAGCTTGCAGGCTCAGGCAGGTTTCGTCCTTTTGATTAAAGGCACAAAAGCCAGAAATCACGCAAGGATGAGACTAGGAAAACTACAAAGGATACCAGCGTAGTGAGTGTCAAATTTGTTTGCTTTACTCTATTCATTCGAGAGAAAGGGAAAAGAGCACAAAGTTAAGGGTTCAAGAATTGATACAAAAATGGCTTCATTGAAATCAAAATGGCCTTTAAGGAGCCAGCATCAAATTGCTGGCCTAAACTGATTGCAAATCAATTGGATTTTATTTTGGCAAAAACTTTATCCTTTTGCTGATTGATTTTTTGGTCTACAAACATTTTAGAGTAAACCACGAAACAGTTTCAGACTCGTTAAATAGTTGCAAATAAACAAAGTTCATTCGCCAGGACTTGAAGTTGATTTAACAAATTGTAATATTTTGAACAATCAACTTGGCCTTTTGATGGATTTATTTCATTATTTACAACATGCTGAGATGTAAATGAAAATGAGAAATCATTCGCCAATTAAAGTCCACACCTGTCAAGATCAGATGTCCTGATGAAGTCCTTTGTGTCTGATTTGAGTAATACCTTATTCTGTTTCCGATTGATTTACGCCACACACTATGTTATTTGCAGTTTGCTTAATAATTTAATTAAATTTCACATTGGCGAACCCAGCTACCAAAGATTCCCCTATTTTGGCCTGGTTAGGGCCACATTTTGTGCATGAACTTTAATTAAATTGAGTGATTCCAGTGAGCGGTTGGCTGTAACTAACGTGTTTATATTAAAACCACAAAACAAATTTGCTCCGGGGTCTTCTGCATTTTTTTCTCCTCTGACCCCAACTTATGAGCGATATTAAACGGCATTGCGGTGGCCGTAACTAAATTTAAGCAGGCCAAACAGCGCGTTTCGCCTGCCTGGCAAAATATTAATGCTGCATAATTAAGGGGGGTCCTTCGTTGGCATCCTGCCTGCTCCTTTGACTTTCGCCCTTCGCAGCATCAACATGACAAAGCGGAGCCTCATCCGCTGCCTGTGGAGCCCTTGCTGTTAACTTGATGTGCAAACTTATTACATTTTCATGAACAAATTTTCAAAACATCAAGTTTAATCCGCAACACGTTAGGGGATGACTCTACTTGGGTCCATTGGGTCGGTCACCCTTAGTCCTCAAAAAACCCTTTGCCGGAAAATAAAACCCGAAAGTTTTTTGGTTGGCGAAGTGTTTCTTTTCGCGGTTTTAAACCTATTATTTTTCTTTGTGGGTTTTCTTTGGCAAAAAGAAGGGGAAGTGACCACATTAATAGCTCTATTTCCTTTGCATTATATTAGATTAATTTTCGAATTTAAATAATATATATTTATAGAAATTTAATAGATCCAAAAAGGAAATGGATTTCTTTCTTAAGGATTTTTAAATACCATTTAAGTAGCCAAATCAAACTTATTTTCTAAGCCACTTAAGCTGCTTTAAGAGCCTTCCGATTGAACTCAAATCCTGGGACTTGGTCAACTGAGTTTCGGATGGCTTTTAGAGCAACAAACTGTATAGATAGCAAAGTGAAAAATCAACATTACTCACCGATATGCGCCGCCCATCAGTTTATTGATCACCAACCCGATGTCGTGGAGCGTGTAAATGTAGCCCTTGGGTATATGCGGTCGGACATCGCGCAGGATATAGCTGCAGGGGTGTGGGTGGGGCAGGGCAACAAGGACATTGAAATTTACATAGCCCGATGTGCCGATGGCTAACAAAACTCACCCCAACGTATTGGCCGGCCCGTGCTTGGTATTGTAGAGCTCCTCGAGGCGCGGTATTGTTAAAAATTTCTTCATCGAAACGCCATTCTCCAGGAGTAATTTGACGAAATCGATTCTATCATGTTCCAGGGCCTGCATCATGGCCTCGTCGAGGGCCCCTTTTAAGTGGAATAGAATTTTTTACAAAATGCAAATGGGGAGGCGACGAGGCAAAGGACCCCTCACCATTGGGCCACTCCTGGCCATAGACGAATATCTCGCTGCGCGCTATGTCCACGCGATTCCACGTCAGGGCCAGGCTCAATTGCTCCGGAGGACTCAGATGCTGTGACTTGAAGAGTGCCGTCAGGATGGTCTGATCCAGCTCCTGTGCCTCGCCCTCGGGCTTTTCCTGTATGCGAAAGACGGTAATCTGGCCGGGAAAATTGTACGCAAAAAAATATATAAATAAATATACATAAAAAGTACGTACGTACGCAAAGTATCTCTTAATGTTGTTTGCCTAGCCGGAAAAAAAAGAAAGAAAAAACCGGAAAAACGAGAGCCTTTGGCAAGGACAAGGACTACTGCTACTCCTAGATCCAGTTCTCATTCAAAAACCAATTAAAATCTTAATAACCACTGCGGCGGAATTGACGAAATGCCAGAATTTGGCGCCTGCCTGCCTGCCTGACGGTGATTTAAAATTCATTACACGTTCAATTGAATTTTGTAGCCTAATTATTTCAACGGGTCCTACGAGCATTAATTAAAAATTTAAATCGCATCGCGTAAAAGTCTCAAGTGATTGAAAAGTTAGCCTCACACCGCGCCGGGTTAATTTGAATCTCCTGAAATCTTCCGGTTGGAGGAGGAAACTTAGGAACTTAATTGAGCAAAGCCCTCTCTTCCGGCAGGGTTATGCGATTTTAATTGATGGTTTTTACCTATAAATAAATGCGGGTTAAAGACTTAACTGTGAACTATGCTTGAGCGTTTGATAAATTAATAATAAATTTAAAGAAGAGGTAAAGAAACATAAAATTTCACTTTTGAGTGTGTTATTAAAGCTCCCATCCTGGATTCCCTTAAAGCTAATGAATATCCCTTGTGAAAAGGGCAACCCTCTCAACCCTTTTGATTAAATTCCCTAATAATTTAATTACACTCTCCCGACTTGCCTTACACAGCAATTAATTATGTAAATTCAACTTGTGGCTCACACTTCTATTAATAATTTGAGGAAATGCCACCCCAGGGGCTTTGAAGGACTCACCAGATTCTTGTTCCTTGTGCACTGCAACAGCTCCTGGTACAGCTTCTCGGACTGGTCCAGGCCCACCTCGAAGGTCTTCTGTATCGTTCCAATGAGATAGTCCCGCATGGACTCCAGCACCGGCTGCTCCTCGCCATCCGACGCATATCTGCATATAATTTATATAAATACATTTTGTCAGAGACAGAAGACAGAACTCGACCGAGAGGCACCCAAAAATTATTCTGACTAATTAAACAACAAAATTAAATGTGGCACACACAAAAAGGGACCGACAGAAGGTAAACACAACCAGCCGGAGAAGTGCCAAGGGGTTTGTGTGATTCCCCTCACTTTTTCGTTGAGTAAATTTAAATAATTTGCCAAATGTCGCGTGCCTGACAATGGGCCCAGGCAACAATTCGGTTGCTTCGGGTCAAAGGGCATGCCAACATGTTCTTAATTAAAGTTACACAAACTGCGGTTTCTCATTAACTTGCCCGACGGCACATGCTTTAAAGAGGGGTTATTTATGGCAAAAGGAAATTTCTAAAAAACAAAATAAAAAAACACTTTTCCTTATCCATATTTAATAAGGATATTGAAAAGTAAAAATCTAAATAAAAATAAGCTCCCTTTCCACACACGTTTAAAAATACATCAGCTATATATCTTGAAAGTCTCAAAAGGCTCTCCTTCTCCCCAAAAAAAAATATCCTTTGCGATATACTCACTTGTGGACGAAGGCAAGCAGGTCGGCGGCACGCCCGGATCCGTCACACACGACCACCGGAACCGGCGGCGAGTCCGTCACGTATTCGAGCACCGCACGTATCGTGTTGGTTCCACCCTCGATCACCAGGCAGACGACGGGTGTACTGGAATGTGTGACTGCACCAGGGGCAATCCCAAAAAAAACGAGTAACAAAAATAATGGAACAAAAGGTAAAGATTTGAGTAGAACAATCCAGGTGGGGGGACATGCAATTGGGATTTGTCAAATTCACAGAGTGCAGGCCGTTACTAAGGACTCAACAGGTCGATTATGACACTTTTCTAATCACCTGTGTATCCTTACACTCAACAAAAATGAATAATTTCGCTCTTGAAATTATAAAAAATCAATTGTATCCTGAATTGTAGAAATCTCTAATAAAATTATGGTCTATATAATATTTTATAATTATAGATGGAAGAATATAGTTTGAAAATACTTTCAAAAAAGTGGATAGTAAAGATTTAGAGAGAAATGAATATAGAATAAACTTGAAAGTTGAAAGCAAGAAACTAGATATTGTAATTTCTATTACTTGAAGATAACGAAAATATTTGTAGATTTAGAAATAGAAAGAAGAAAACTTATTTCCGTATACCATTTGTTTTAAGCCAGTGATTCTTTGCTAGAAGTATAAGTAAATTTGAGAAAATTCTTAGGCAATTTCATTTTAGTTTTAGGTAAGTTAATTTTGTCGGTATATATAAATTCATATTTAAATAAAGCTGTTTTTCAAAAGAGAAATGGGTTTTTATAATTGTTATTGCGTGAATCTTATTATTGTACAGTTTCTAAGTATATTATGATAAGCATTTTTTGCTAAGTTATGAGATATTAAAAAATTTGATGCTTGGTTATGAATAATTTCCGTTTCGACATTATAATTATAATTATAACTATATTTTAATTGCTAAACCTGTTTTTTAACAGAATTTAGTTATCTTTATAAGTTTCTAATCTATTCTTCCTTAAGGCACACATTGCGTATACTTAATTTAAGGGTTTTCACGTTAAGTATACGCCAAGTATGCTAGATTGTTCTTTAATCGAAGACTATTTTTACTTTATCTAGTAAGTATCAGTAAGTAACTCTAATCAGTAAGTATCTATGACTAGTAAGGGTGTATGATCAGTTACTCACTTTGAACACTAATAAACAATGACTTGCAACTTTTGTAACACAACACATATCTGAGACGTGGCCGGCAGAAGGCACTTCGTTCCGGGGATGTTAGAACAAGTTGGGAATCATATGCACAGATGTGCGAGATTTGTTTTGGAACAAATTTAAGCTATTTAACTGAAACTATGGAGTTATTCTTCTTCATAATTTTACTAGTATATAAGTCGGAGCATGGCGAATCGGTTGACTATATATATACACATAAATAGCTGCCATAGGAACAATCGGACGATTTATAAAACTATGATCAGTAATAAACTATGACCAGTAATTAACTATGAGCAGCAAGTAACTATGAGTAGTAAGTAACTCTGAACAGTAAGTATCTATGACCAGTAAGTATCTATGACCAGTAAGTATCTATGACAAGTAAATATCTATGTCCAGTAAGTAACTATGATAAGTAAGTATCTATGACCAGTAAGTAAGTATGATCAGTTACTCACTTTGAACACTAGTAAACAATGACTTGCAACTTTTGTAACACAACACATATCTGGGACCTGGCTGGTAGAAGTCACTTCGTTCCGGGGATGTTAGAACCAGTTGGGAATTTTATGCACAGATGTGCGAGATTTGTTTTGGTACAAATTTAAGCTATTTAACTGAAACTATGGAGTTATTCTTCTTCATAATTTTACTAGTATATAAGTCGAAGAATGGAGAATCGATGGACTATATATATACATGTATATAGCTGACATAGGAATAATCGGACGATTTATAAAACTATGACCTGTAAGGAACTCTGAACAGTAAGTATCTATGACCAGTAAGTAACTATGATCAGTAATTATTCATGACCAGTAAAAAAGTATGATCAGTTACTAACTTTGAACAGGGTTTACATCGTTAAAATTCTTAAAAGGTGGCAAAAAATTGAATTTTTTAAAATGTTAAACTGACTATGCAGATTTGTTAACCTTGTACAAACTGACATAGGACCGCTTTAATGCCTTTTTGGCTTAGTTATAAGTTTTTTAAATTTGGACTTGTCGAAAAAATTTTCGTATATAAATATTGATTCAAAGAATATTAACTTCGGTTTTCCAAAGTTATTATCCTTGTTACTTGTACATTGGGTTAAAATAAACCTTTTATAATACAAAAACTCCTAAACTTCTTGTCAAACATTAATCGCAGTGCAAATTAATATCCTAACAATGACAGCTCGCCACATCACAGCCAGAATATCCTTGCCATTGGGCGCTTAGCCGACGGCATTGGCCATGAAAAGAAATGTCTCTCAATGGCAAGGATGACAAGGAGCTCCAATCTGTGCCCTGATTGGCCTTTTGTGCTGTCGAGCTGTCATATTGAACATGTTGTCCCCAGACTCACATGGATGTAGCTTCAGGTTGGATATAAACTTCTCCAGCTTGCGGCGCAGGATCAGCTCCGCTCCGTACTTGGCCTGGGTGCCGTTGTCCACCAGCAGGAAGTATGCATGCCGGTTGTTCAGCACGGCCAACTTGGATCTGGAAAAGGGAAACGGAAAGGGAAATGAAAATAGAAAATGTAGCAAAGAAATATAATGGGAAATGGAGCAGTTGCAACAGCAGCAGGTGATGATTGCAACAGGTGCTGGTGATTGCAGTGGGAAAAGCCACAACAGCTAATGCTCATGCATTTTTAACGTGGCCCAGACACAATTAAGCCCGTTGCCTTGATTGGACCCCATTAAATATGCATTATTCCAGGTCGGGCTGGAAATTCCCCCACATTTACACTTACCTGGGCGAACTTATGCTGTGGCAGGGCACCTCGCGGTTGTGGCCCAACAGCTCGTGATTGCGCTCGACGATGCCCCAGGGAGCGATGCCGATGCTGACCACTCGTCCTGTCCGCTGCTGTCCCTCCAGGAGCAGGGCATCGCCCACTTGCTTGGTGACTCCTGTGAACCAAGGCAGAGAGATGGGTCAGAGTGGAAGATGGTGGCTCAACAATGGCCGCATTGAGCGAGTGCGTAAACAAGTTCATGTCTCCTCCCCTCCGAGGATTTGCTATATAGTCTCATCGCCCTGTTCCAGCGTTTTATATCATAGTTACGGGCATTGGGGGCGTGTCTAAAATTTAATAACAACTCGAGCACAAAACCCAGACGACACAAAAAAAGGACCTTCTCTACGAGCAGTCGAATGAAAAATGTAATAAAATGAAAAGGATCTAATATGCGACTGTGAAATGCGCTGCCAGCAAATACAATAGAACAAATAAAAGAAAAGAAAACAGAACAAAAACTAGGTATTTTTCTATTCTATTATGTTCGAGTTTATAATTGTACAAAAAAATTACAAATTAAAAAAGTTTACATTAATTCTACAGGCCCTTTAAAACGAGTTAAATAGTTAAGTTAAGTTAAGCCTCGTTAAAGAGGATAAATTTGATTATTACTTTATGAAATTCAACCAATCATTTAATTAAACTTTTTTCAACACAAATTAAATAATTAAATAAATTGTTTAAAATCAGATTTAATTCAATTATAAACAACCTAATTAAATTGCAAACTTTTCGAACAAAAAACTGTATGGCTTTTTTTGGGCTATAGCCCATGAACTCATCTCTACCCTTTCCCGAGGCTCGATAATCCAATTTACTTGCAAGCACATTCTCCTACCCCCTAGGCCAGTGCCAGCATACCCCACCGATGGGGCTACTGGGTAGCACAATATGTTGACTGCCAAGCCAGTTGAAGTGTGTACAATCACTGGCTGCGTGATTTCCGCTTGGGATTTTATTTATTTAATTTTCGACTGGGGTCGCTCATCCGCACTTTAAGTTTTTTTCCCTGGTCCCAACCCACCGCCTCCGCCCCATTGTTTGTTGTTTGTTTTCCTTGCTCATTTTTCTTTGTGCTTATTTAAGTTGGCTCTCCGGCAAACTGGTAGCTGAGGACAGCCTGGGAACTGGGCCGTAATCGTTGGCCATAAAACTGTACAGTGTCCTTTCATGAAACTTAAATGAAACGGAATGCTCACCGGTGTTGGTGCCGCCGGTGAATATCCAGGCTCCCGTGGTCTTGGCCGCCTTCAGCAGTCCTTTGCGTATCTCCTGTGAATCGAAATAGAAAGTGGAAAGTGGAAAGTGAGTAGTGGGGATGCGGTTACTGTCAGTCCGGTCCATTCAATTAGCGTGTGACACACGACCCAGGGACCCTTTTTCGCTCTCACCTTCTTCAATTTGGCCTGCAAATCAAAGTTGGCCTTGCCGCCCTGCACGGTGATCAAAAGTTTTGGCAATTCCAGATTCCATTCCTTGGTGAAGAGCTGCACCAGCAGCTCCGGCCGCGTGTCGAACGACAGGCGTACATACTGATACACACAACAAAAAAAGAAAGTTTGGGAAAGTTATTAAGGCAAATGGCCAACGGGATTGGACGGATTGTTATAGCCTAGGCCTACGTACCTGTGCCTTTGTGGGATGTGCTCCGCCCTGGAACTCGATGGTGCCATAGGCATCGGTGGGCTGGGGGCGTGTGTGCTTGGTGGGCAGCCAAAGGTCGCCGGGTGAACCACTCTCGATGCCCGGTATCGTCTGATGTGTGATTTGGACTTGGCCACAACAGCATCTGCAAAGGGGAGAGATACATTACTATATGGAGAAGTTTTACTTCGAAGGAATATAAGATTAACTGAAGTTTTTTGCCTTTTCTAGGCTTTTTTACGATTCAAAGTATATTATATGATAACTGTGTCATCAAAGTATGGCATTATTATTATATAAATATTTAAACTAATGAAAATCCTCCTTAAAACAGCATTAAGATTTATAGAACTATAATCAGTAATTAACAATGATCAATCATTAAATCTGACCAGTAAGAAACTATGAGAAATTATTAACTATGATCAGTAAGTATGTAACTATGATAGGTAAGTATCTATGACCAGTAAGTAAGTATGATCAGTTACTAACTTTGAACACTAATAAACAATGACTTGCAACTTTTGTAACACAACACATATCTGGGACCTGGCTGGTAGAAGTCACTTCGTTCCGGGGATGTTAGAACCAGTTGGGAATTTTATGCACAGATGTGCGAGATTTGTTTTGGAACAAATTTAAGCTATTTTACTGAAACTATGGAGTTATTCTTCTTCATAATTTTACTAGTATATAAGGCAAAGAATGGCGAATCGGTTGACTATATATATATACACATATATAGCTGCCATAGGAATAATCGGACGATTTATAGAACTATGATCAGTAATTAACTATGACCAATAATTACCTATGAGCAGCAAGTAACTATGAGCAGCCAGTAACTATGAGTAGTAAGTAACTCTGAACAGTAAGTATCTATGACCAGTAAGTATCTACGACAAGTAAGTACCTATGTCCAGTAAGTAACTATGATAAGTAAGTATCTATGACCAGTAAGTAAGTATAGTCAGTTAATCACTTTGAACACTAGTAAACAATGACTTGCAACTTTTGTAACACAACACATATCTGGGACCTGGCTGGTAGAAGTCACTTCGTTCCGGGGAGGTTATAACTAGTTGGGAATCATATGAACACATGCACAGTATTTGTTTTGCAACAATTTTAAGCTATTTGAATGAAACTATAGAGTTATTCTTCAATATAATTTTACTAGTATGTAAGTCAGAGCATGGCGAATCGGTTGACTATATATATACACATATATAGCTGCCATAGGAACAATCGGACGAATTATAGAACTATAATCAGTAATTAACAATGATCAGTCATTAAATATGACAAGTAAGTAACTATGATCAGTAATAAACAATGAACATTAAGTTACTCTAATCAGTAAGTAACTCTGATCAGTAAGTATGTATGACCAGTAAGTAAGTATGATCAGTTACTAACTTTGAACACTAATAAACAATGACTTGCAACTTTTGTAACACAACACATATCTGGGACCTAGCCGGCAGAAGGCACTTCGTTCCGGGGATGTTATAACTAGTTGGGAATCATATGTACACGTGCGCAAGATTTGTTTTGGAACAAATGTAAGCTATTTGAATGAAACTATGGAGTTATTCTTCTATATAATTTTAGAAGTATAAAAGTCGGAGAATGGCGAATCGGTTGACTATATATAAACACATATATACCTGCCATAGGAACAATCGGACGATAAGTAAGTAAGTATCTATGACCAGTAAATAAGGTTGATCAGTTACTAACTTTGAACACTAATAAACAATGACTTGCAACTTTTGTAACACAACACATTGTGAGACCTGGCTGGCAAGAGGCACTTCGTTCCGGGGATGTTATAACCAGTTGGGAATCATATGAACACATGCGCGATATTTGTTTTGGAAAAAATTTAAGCTATTTGACTGAAACTATGGAGTTAGTCTTCGATATAATTTTACTAGTATATGAGTCGGAGCATGGGGAATCGGTGAACTATATATATACATATATTTAGCTGACAGAGGAACGATCATAAAATTGTAAGAAAATATAACATATGATAACTTTTTTCGGATTTATGCCATTGCATTTTACTCTGGAGGATTTTATTCCATTCTTGATTCTTTGATGATTTCTATATTAAAAATAACTTTTATAGATAGTTGATCTTGCTCTTGATTTAATTTTAACTTTAGTTTAGGGTAATTTATGCTTTAATACTATTTAAAAATATATATGTTGCTTAAATTCCCCATCGTATATGACCTACCAAAATAGCCCTTGTTGAACATTTTCTCCATTAACTTTAAGTGCATTCGTGTCTTGCTTTAATTTTACAACTAATTTATACTATATCGTGTCTCTTTTGTTAAATTGGGTCCTTCTTTTATCTGTTTTTGCTTCTCCGTTTTCATTTCACTATTTACCTTTTTAATTAATTCCAGAAACCAGCCAATCTGCTAAGCTAATTTACAGAAAGTGAAGTCCGTGTTTCTAGTAACTGATTTCAAGTTGAATAGAAGGAGATATCTACTGTTTTCATATGTTTTTCTGTGCCATCTCTTTGCTGGTTTTTTTCTTATTCCCTCTGGCTGCAAGTCCTGTATCTTTATAGTGCTCTTGTTGACCAACTGTCAGGATGCGTGGTGGGTGTAAATGATATTCGGCAAACAGCAGGCAGACACTCCCCGCAGAAAGAAAGAAAAAACACACCGAATAACACACACGCATCCGCCTTAACCTGTCACATTGTTTGCTATGCCCACGTGTAATATAGAGCGTTATTTATGCACGTGTGTGCCAATGCCGGAGGGTGTTGGCTTTGTGACCCCCAAACCCCATACCAAAAAAAAAAAGAAAATACAAAAATAAATATATATATGATGGCAACAAACGGCAAAGGCAATAACCTGTCTGAGGGTCTGACCTGACCCTATCCTATCCGACTCAGCCAGCTGATGTTCTTGTCAGGTGCTTAAAATTTGTGTGCTAAATAATGCATTTCAATTAAAGGCACACACAAGCACTCACCACATTTGTGAGTACAAGTATACTTTCCGACTTTGGGCAAATAAATCAGTTTAAATGGAATTAAATAATCAAATTAATCGCCACGTGTCTGTGGCACATTCCATGGCCTGTGACTGATGTGTGGTAGACATGCTATTTAGAACAGAGTAGCTTCCTTAAATTGAATTAGGATATCTTGAATTCTGAATCAAGCTAAAAGAATGTTATTCAAATACATATGGTATATATTTTTGAATTTTTAATTGAAATTTAAGTGTAAGTCCATGTCTTTAGAGAACTATAAAAAGGACTTTAAGAAAGGCAACTTATATACCCTTTCAGTTCTATCAAAACTAAGCTTAAAGTATTCCCATTTTTTGAATATTTTTATATGATAATATTTTGGACAAACCAAAGTTTAAAAAATTCATAACTTTGCCAATTTTTGAGTCAATATTTACTAATCCTAACCTGGCTTTATTTGAATTTGATTTAATTTTCCAGAATCCGCGACTGTATTTATTACAAATACCTCACTCTTGTTAAAGTAAAACCTCTAATTTATAATTACCGAAAAAGCAATTAAAGAATAATTTAATAAAGTCGCAAAACTTCAATTAAAACTTTGAACAAATTCCATATTAATGAGTGTAAAAGTGCAAGATGCCGAAAGTTCAAAGTGTAAATAATGACGAACAAATTGGCATAAGAATTTGATTTCATTTTCGGCCAAGTCCGACTGTAAAGAGGATATAGTATAGAAAATATAGTGGGCAGGACAGATGTGTGTAGCAGCAGCTACCGGTTGTCGTGGTAACTCGACTAGGCCAGCAGGCAAATATTTGGCAAGCCAAAAGCTGATAACAGCCAGTGGGTTTTGTAAAGCGTCAAAAGGGGTGGCCATAAAGCCATCTCCCTCCCGCCTGCTGAAAACTTTCACCGGGCCAGAATCCAAATCTGAATCAGTTGGGAACGGGGTACGGGGCTGGCTTTATGGCGCATTTATCTCAATTCCCGGGTCTTGGTACAGCGCCTGTCATAATAAACAATAAATGCTAACGCCCAAAATGAAACTAAATACACAATGGGTCTAGGAACTGGGCCAGTAGTGTCAGCCAGCAGCCAGTCGCATCTGCATCACGAAAAGCGTTCTCTGATAGCCGACGAAACTGGGTCAATTGTTTGCGTCTTAGTCTTGGTCTTGGACTTGGACCTTCTTCTGCCCCTCCTCCCCCATTGAAAATGCAAATAAATTAAATTAGGAGCCACTTACTTTGTATCGTCCTTTGGGCATGGTATGAACTTGATGCATTCGCGCTTCTGGAAATTTGTCTCGATCCAACTACGCGGCTGGTGCTAAATGGGAGCAGGAATTGTAATGGGAATGGAAGAGTAAAATTTGAGTTAGTTAGTTTATTAATTCAAGACATCACCATCATCATCGTCATCATACACTTTATACACTCAATATACAGCTAGAGGAGAAAATGTAACAAAATATATAAATAATCGTTAGGTTTAACGTCATAGAGAATGACTAGAGGTGCTAAATGCAAATAAACTCAAGGTTTTAAGTATAGTTTTTCATTTTGGATGAGTAGCCTCAGTGAATATATTCACAAATTGCACTTTAATCGAAATCCAGAAATAAATAAAAACGAATGGGGTTCTTAAATAGTTGTCACTAATCATTCGGGATAAACACAACGACGACGACACAATACAATCACTATTGAAACATTACTAATTTCGTGAAAAGAAACGAGGTATAAATAAATTAGGTAAATGGAACAAATAAAGGTGTGCATTCATTGAATAAAATATTTACAACAAAATGTGAGAGGGTGAGGTTGGGATGAAGGGAACTTAATGTATAGCATTGGTATTTATATTTATATATTTACATTTCACACAATTGATTCTAGCTTCTAGTTTAAATTATTTATTAAGCAGCCGTGCAAATGCATCTGCGACAAACTTTTTCAACTCTTTTAGCCTAGCACTAGGTTTAAGCCGGCTTTTAGCCAGCTTTTAAGCCACAAAAAGTCCCTCATATGATTGGCTGCAGTTATGCCATTTGCTTCCCAGAAGATTACACACTTATATAAGTAAACCCTGGTCACGTTTTTATGCCTTCCTGAATCCTCAGGCCTTTGCACAATTGATTCCAATTTCGTATCAAAACTTTGGCCAACTGCAACTTGCCTGTTATCGCGGCAAACAAAGCCAAAAGTGGCAAACTTTCAAGCCGCACTTTGGGCCAAGAAGCTACAGTTGGCTTTTGGATTGGAATTTGGGATTGGAATTTGATTTGTGGATTAGTAGCAGGCTACCACCTCCGGTGGCTTTTAGAGAGAGAGCAAATATAGCTCTTAGCTCAACAAGTTTGAAAGCGGGGAATTCCCAATGCACTTGCCAAAAAGAAATAATCATATATTTCTTACTTTATTTACAATATTTATAACTTCAATTCAGTTAGAGTTTAAAATACCAGAAAGACTGTAAGCTTAACTAAATGAAATAAGCAAAGACTATAATCGTTTTCCTCTAATGCATTACTATAGTTTACCTAAACAATAATTAACTTTTCAAATAAAATACATACATAAAAATATCTTTGGTACTTCCTGTTGCCTCTTTCCTTTCTTTGTTATTGATTGTTATTATTCCTCTTCGAGGACTTTAAATTCTCTTAAATCCCAATCAATTTTCCCAGTGTTTCAAGTGTCACTTTCCTACCTCTTTGAGGGGATCATCACTGGCAGCCGCATGAGCCTTTAGCAAATCACGCACATTTAGTATCAGGACCTTTGACAGCGTGGAGGATACGGAGGAGCGCTTCCGCATTCGCTGTCGCCGCCGGATGCCCCTGGGCGTTGGTGGGGCACCGGGTGCAGTGCACCCACTACTACTCCTCCTGTGGACTGTAGGTAAATGGGCAGCAGCCTCGGCGGCTATGAACGCGGATGTGGTGGCACGCACCGAAAGCACCGCCGGCGTATTACTGTATCGGCGCACCGTGGAGAAATCCTTGGAAATGCGCCGCAAATACTTGTGCGCGGCGAGTGGGGAATCCGTGACCACCATGGCTGAATCGCTATTTTCCGCTAATATGCTCTAATTAATTGAATTGGCCGTGCCCGGCGGCGGCCCCTAACCTGGCTCACTGCAATCGCATTTGCATCCGATCCGCAACCGAATCGTGCGACAGGCGAATCTCGACTGGCACGCACCTGCACCTGTGCAGCTCACCTGTCGGCCAAGCCGAGTTCTGCTCAAACTGGGCTATCTCTGAGGGGTATCTGTATCTCCGCAGCAGCATCAGCATCATCGTCATCACGGCATGGGGGAAAATGTGAGCCATTAAGTTGGCCAAATTAGATAAGCCAAGCTCCCGTATCTATAAAGTTCTGGCCATAGCTCCGGAGAGCTTTTTAACGTCATTTTCAACTGGCGCCCAAAAGTATAAACGGGGTTTTCAGAAATGCGGTTATTAAGTATTTGAGGTTGCCAGATAAAAACTATTACTAGTAAAGACTTTAGTTGATTATTAATTATTTATATGAAATTTTGGGGTAACAGTTAAAGCAAATTGTTAACTGGCTTCCAGGCGGGAAATTAGGTTTTAGTAAATGCGTTACATTAGTAAAAAAAAACCTCTTAACAAATATGTTAAGCTTTATGATAATTGCTTTTAAGCTTTATCAATTTATTACTTATTTAACCCTTAGAAAAATATTAAATTTTGATATATTAAACAATACATTTTTTAATAGAAATACAGTTGAAGAATTTAATAAACTGTCTTTGAAGGCAATCTTCTTGAAATCAGAAAGCGATTTTATCTATTGATCTTTACTATAAGTTCAAGGCTTCATTTGAATACTAATTCATAATTTAAAATGTCTTAAAATACCCTTAAATAAGCATCCTAATAACCTCAATTTTCCAGCCAACATAAGTATATATATAATTGACCCTCTTAGACCTTCTAAGCTTCTCTTCTAGGCTGCCAATTATGTGGCCTGCCAAATTGTCAGCTAGCCAAATATTGGATTAATCTTGGCTACAATCCTGTATTTGAAATATATCCACAGTGTCGCTGGAAATTAGGTGCTCTAATCTGCATTTACCATTAAATTAATTGTTTTGATTCGGCAAATAAATGATGGTTCTAGGGTCCCAGAGCCAAACTCAGCCATTTAATTTGCTGAATTGCCTGGGAGCCATCCATCGAAGGTTGAGAGACAATCGAACAGACCGACGAGGCCACTAACTAAATGGATTTCCCTTAATTAATTACATTTGGCAGCTCAGCGGAAGTGAGCTTTTAATGGAAACTCATCATCTGAATCCGGGAAACCTATAGGAAGGAGTCTTTTCTTTGGTTTTCTTTTGTTTTTTTTTTTTTGGGTGCACATTAGTAGTAGGAGGCAAAGTTACAAATGCAAAACATATAATAATAAAGGTTTTTGTTTATAATAATAATAACATAATAATTAACAACAGCAAGTGTGGTGGAACGTACAACAGAAAAAAACAATTAAATGATATTGAAATTAAAGTTGAATGTTGATTGCTTACCCTGGGCACGGTTATATTTATCAGACCCCAACAGATTTTTTTCAGTCCCCATGGTATCTTTAAGGGTTTTCGTATATATATAAATATATATATATATATATATATTGTTTATAGTTTTTTTGTGGGTGTGTACGTGTGTTTGGACATTTACATTTTGCAATTTGTCAGGTGTTTTTGCAGATTTGTTTATTGTGGTTTTTGTTGATTGGTCGTTGTTATCGTTCAATATATTTTCGCATATATATTATATCATTATTTTTGGTCATTTGTGCAATTATTATTGTTTTGTTTTTGTTCGAGTTTTAGACACGCACGCACACACACATATTATACACACGGATTGGTGCATTGAAAATTGAACAACAAATTATTTATTGTCGTTATTAATATTGATTGTATTCATTAAATTTGAGGTGTTTTGTGTGGTGGCGGTGGTCGGGGAGGAGGAGAATAGAGTGTGAAAACACAAAATGATTAATTAACAGATCATAGCACAATAATGTAAATTTATAAAAAGGATTGTTTATTGTGTCGCAGCAGGAAAACAAATCCAAAAATCAATTAGGAAAAGGGGCGTCAAAATTGATATACAGTAGTAGTAGAGGGGCGGGGACAAGTTACGTATTATGTGTATAGATTTAGCGTTTATTTGTGGTGTATTTGTGGTGTGTGTAGGGTTTGTGTTGTGCAAAGCAAGGTTGAAAGTAGAAGAAAAATATTATGTTTTAAAATTAGTTTAAACTTGAAAGATTCGAAACAATTTGCTCTTCTCCCTTTGGGTTGTGTTTCTCTTTAGTACTTTTATTAATTATGGGATTAACTACATTGACTTACTACCAGACCGCTTTGATTACAACTATATCTTGATGAAAGGTGCTTGAATTAAATATATATTAAGGTGTAGGAATTATATGATTAAATACATTATTTTACAGTTGGTTAATACTCTCTAGTGCTACATAGGCATAAGAACCCCACTCAGTTCTGAAAGTATGCACCTTTTTGTAGGCCAGCCCAACTCAGAGATACACTTTTGTGGCAAGTACGCAGTCACATTTCATTGCCACAGCTTAGAGTGAAAAGCCAGTTGTTGCATCTGCAACACACACAGGTAAGTGATGGTCCCAGGAGAAAGCCAACCCCACTTGGCTCCCACAAACACATGGAAAATTCGCAGAATTCCCCTGGTGTTGGCCACAAACTGCAAGTGGGGGTTAAAGCCCACAAATATGGCCACAAAGCAAGTCTAAATTGCATTCATGCCACTCTCTGTTTGATTAATTATAATATATATATATATAATAAGGTACAATTTTGGCTAAATATAACCTTGCTATACTCATTAAAATCAAATGATTAAAAATAAACAACAAAATCTAATAGGAAATTAAAGCTTTACAACTAAACAGTTATCAGGAAAATCAACCAAAAACTTCTAACAAGTATGCTATGTATATGGCTTTATTTGATTACTTAAACCCCACGTATCTTTAACCAATTTAAGTGATTGTAAACCTTTAGCTTAATTAAATGAAACTTGTTTAACAAAATTCATTTAGTACAAACTGTTGAAAATATGTTCTGCCTATCAGCTGCATGCTTGCACTGAACTGCATTAAAATGTATGGGGAAAGTTTAACAACTCATAACTACAAGTTCCCACGGATACGCCCAAACGTTTTTCCCTTCACCCAGGGCCAGAAACCAATTAAACTTTTTACGAAAAACCCCATCGCCATCCACATCCTCTGAGATCGCAAAAAGTGGGCGAA